TCCTAAATGACTTGGACTTATTTCTGGAATCTGTCTTTTTTGTCTTGATTATTGTAGCTTTAAAATACTTTAGTATTTGGATAACTGTAGTGTATTTTAGTTACTCTACCCCCATTTAAGTTTCCTTTTAAAATACTTTCTTGTTGGTTTTTAAGATAAACTTGGGTGTATTTTTATTAATAGATAACCACTTTCCCTCCAACAGAATTATATACTCCCTAAGTATTGTACCGGGATGCAATTTAGGAATATATTGAGACTTTTACACTATCAAGACCCCCCTAAGAATGTGATGTGGTTTACATTTTCCTATATATTCTACTTACATTTATTTATTAGTCAAGTTTCAAAGATTTCTGCACATAGATTCTGTACATTTTTTTGTTGTTGTGGTAATTTCTAGGGTTTTATTTTTTGCATGCTGTTGTTGAAACATTTTTTGTCTTATTTTCCAGCTGCCTGTTGTTTTTATCTAAAAAACTGATTATTGGTCAACTTGCCAACTTACTGAATCTTTAGCTTTAAATTTTTTTTTTTTTAGGCTAGATTACATTTAAAAAATATTTCTTGAAATAGAACTTCCACTGCTGAGGGATTCCTACTGTTCCCATTTACACATAATGTGACATTCCTGGTTTTTACTATATGCTGTTGTTTTTATTGTGGGAAAACGTTCTAAGATATTTTTGTGACACTTAGAGGTGTTACACTGTCTTGTTACTTGAGGATGATTATCTTAAATTATGGTTAAGAGTTTAAAATATAGACATTTTGGACTGTGAGTGAACAGATTAAGGGACCATTTTATAAAGATGCTTCAGAATCTTACATGTTTGTATATGTATGGGAAGATGAAAAAGAAATGGGAAAAGTTTTTGTTTTGAAAAAGAGGGTTCCAGAAGAGTGTGAAGGGGAAGAGAGACATAATCCCTAAAGTAACATGTAGGAAGACAAAAGTTGTAGAAAGTTAAAGTCATAAAGCCACCCCATGCCATGTGCAGACAAATAACGGGTGTTGTTTTTTGGTGACCCTCAACTCAGATTTTGGCAAAGTACCAACCCTGCCATTTTGGGTCTCTTCACTACAAAGGGACCCACCATTATTCTGGTGACTTGGGGAGTTAAAAATGTCTTGAAAAGTATGGACTTTGTTGTGCATCAAATGGACACAATTTAATAGTGTCCACTAAAAGTACCTTATCCTTAGAGTGTACGGTTTGGGGGATTGGAACATACTTCCATACTGTCCACTATAGTCCAAATGTCATTTAAGGACTGATTATCAAATGCTTAACTCATTTAATCTTATGCCTGAAGTATATTAGCAATTAACAGTAGGTGTCCAGCACTGTGTTTTTTTTCCTTAAAGTTTGTGGGAAATGTGCACCCAAACAAAGCTGATGTACTGGTAATAAATTGGGGATGGGGTGGGAAGAGGTAGAAGCATTGATTTTTAGATGGAAAACAAATGGATTTTTATCATAATGAAGAGTAGAATTTCCCAGTGACTTGGAGCTTTGATTTGATGTAATACACTGTATAATTAATACAGAGGTTACAAGGTTTGACATAATGGAATATTCCAAATTCTGAAGATTGTTTGTAAAGGACTAGAAAATGTTAAAGATGAAAGGATGACTGATCTCTGATGGCAAGATGTGTTTTACTCTAATATTCAAATGGAGAATTTCAGAATTCTCCATTTCTGAAATATTACTTAAAAATGGCAGGGGTATAATAGAGATAGATGTGCTGGTAACATAGCTATGAAAGTATTGACCAAAAATGCTTGCCAAAAGTAAATGTGTAGATGAACAACTAGAGATAGAGGAGTTGACCAGGAAATCATTATTATAGTATGGTCAGATAATCAGACTTTGCACTAGAATAGCAATTCTTAATATTTAGCTTTGGGAGGAGAGAGAGGAATTAAAAATATGTACAGAATTGCAAGACAAACTGTTATAGTACTTTTGAAGGTACAATAAGGCCTGACTTGTGACCCATAGGTTCTTGGAAACAGTGACTTTAAGCAAACTAATTTTCCCTTAGGCTAATTGATACATAAACAGCAGTTAAGTTCCTAAAGCATATTTCTGATCACAGAAGTGTCAATAAAGAAGATTGAAATCATCTAATATTAAACTTTGAAGTAAATGTGAGCTATATAGACATTTAAGAAAGATTAATAAAAACAAGATGATTTTCTAAACTGCTTCAGTTCAGGGTTTGGGGGATTTGAGGGGCTGAAGCCTATGTTGGCAACTCAGGGAGCAAGGCAGGAACCAGCCCCGGACAGGATGCCCTTTGATCATTTCAGGGCACACTCAACACCTGTACTTGCTCAGACTAAGACCATTTCGTTGGGCCAGTTCACTTCATGTGCTCATCTTCAGTATGTGGGAGGAACCTGGAGTAGAACAACTCCAGGTTGTTCTACTACCCCAATAGGGGAGAACAGGCCAACTTGATACAGGAGTGGCCCTACCCTACCTCAATACCCCTACCTACCCCAATAGGGGAGAACAGGCCAACTTGATACAGGAGTGGCCCTGGACAGGAATCAGTTTTTCCCTGTCCTCAACATTAAATGAAACATTGCTATTCAAGGAGCTGCTGTATCCTGAGTTTGGGACTCATATGAGGGTGCTTGCATTGAAATGACCCATAGCACACAAATAAATCAGGTTATAGGCATTTAGAGCTGGAGAGAGATTAGGGTCAAATTACAAAATATAATTGAGAAGCCGATGTGCTAGGAGGGCATTGATAGACAAGTTATTTAAATTCTGTGATTTCGTGATTTCCATATTAAAGAAAATAAAATGATTTTATTTTCAGTCTAATCTGTTACCCTCTTCTCTCCAACTTCCAGAGATTTTTTAGGGTGGTATTGGCCATCTTGCATTTTTGTTTTTCCACTGACAGTTTGTTTCAGTCTTTGACTTGCCAATTTGCTTAGAATAATATCTAAGACATAGAATTACATATTAGTACTTGTTGCTTTGCTTTTTTAAAGATTAGTAACTCTTACTCATCTGTTTTGTGAATTTCCCACATTTTGTTGCAATTTTTTCCCCTCTTCATTGTCTTCGTGTGTGCTAGAGGTGGGGATGGGGGGTTATGCCTAAAAATTCCTTTTGTATGGGGTTGGCCAAAAAGTCCATTAAGGGAAAAGACACTTTTTTCATTATTACTAATAACTTTATTAATTTGGATATTTTGAGCATTTCAGTTACCTTCTGCTATTGGCTGCTTCTAGTGGGTAGAGGCTAAGGGTGCTGCTAAACATCTCCCAATTCACAAGATAGTCCACAGCAAAGAATTACATGGCAAAAGGTCAATAGTACCAAGAAACTTCACAAACCACTTGTGACAAATTCGATCAGTCACACAACCTTCTCCATACACTGCACAAATCTTTTGCATTTCAGTTGCGTTTTTATCTTTTTTAAATAATAAAGCATGATATGCTGAAAATGTTACATATTTTCTTCACCGTCAATATTAAAATGGCTGCACAACAATTCACCAATTTTGATAAGGTTTTTTTAAATGCATGCTGATACAACTGCTGTCACAGTACAGTCTAATGAGATTGTTTTGAATGAAGTTAAAGACAACTAAGCATTGCTAGAGCCATGTATGGGAAAAAAACATAATAGACTTTTGGCCTAATATTTAGTGGACTTTCGTAGGGAGGTAGGTAAACAGGATGTATTCACTTCTGCCATGTTTTAACTAGGTACTGAAGGTGTGTGTGTTTATGTAGCCAGCTTTTAGTGCATCCTATGTAGTCTAGAGTGATCTTTGTTTTAGAAAAGTATTTATTAAGTACTTAGTGTGTGTAGGAATTTGCTTTGGTTGAGAACTTGGGGTTCTGCTTGACAGAAATATGAAGTGTCGTTTAATATCAATTGTGATCATACAGGTGCCAAGAAATTCTTGCCCAAGGTTACATAGTGGTAGATAGAGCAAGGATTCGAACAGCAGTTGTTCTACAACCAAGACCTTTGCTCTTTCTTACGTTATTTCTTTAAGCTATGTTCATCAAATGAAAAGAGTAGTTAATTTTAAGGCTAGAAAGTGACTACTGATTTTTATTGAGAATGTATTTTTAAGTTTTTAAAAAGATTTGTTGATTTGAGAGAGAGAGACAGAGGCAGGAAAATGGAGGAAGGGGGAGAGGGAGGCAAGGGGGGGAGGGAGGTGGGGAGAGAAACACTGATATGTTGTTCCATTTATTGATACATTCATTGATAGATTCTTATATGTGCCCTGGCTGGGTATCAAACCCACAACCTTGGCGTATGGGGACAGTGCTCTAACTACTGAACTACATGGCCAGGGTGAAGAGAATCTGTATTCATTCCAAATAGTTTCTAGGCAGTGTACTCAATATAGCCCAATTTTTTTAAGCAAAGAAATGAGAAGCTGTAGGAAAAATAAGATTACTTTAGTGGTAAGTTTAGTATTCAAAATATGGTCATGTCTTTTATTAAAAGTGGGCTTTAATATTTATAACTAATATTTATACACTTGAGTTCTTCATGTTAAATATTGTGGTAAACATTATTTTACTTAATTCCATAATTCCATGAGGTATGGTACCGCGTGATATCTCAGTCAAGAATATATAAGTGGTAGAGCCTGGGGTGTGAATCTTGGTACCGTGACCCTAGAACCTGAACTATTAGTACTAAATACTGCCTCACTTAGTTTGAGTATTAACTAATACCTGTGAAGTTTCAGGCGTTTCACTAATTCTGAGGTAGGTATGTGAAGCTGAGGTTCAGAGAGGTTAAGTAAATACCAAGGTTATGCCTTTCACAAATGATGGAGATGGAAATTAATCCAGATTTTCCTAATTCTAAGGTCTGTTGTTTTCAGTACTCCGTATTTTCTTTGTCTCTAATACTGCCTATGTTGTAGTTAACAGCATTTTAATTGAATATTGATATTCCTTTAATAATGTTTTGGGGTTTGTTTTTTTTTTTCAGGGATTTATCAAAGATGTTCATGAAGACTCCCTCACAGTTGTTTTTGAAAACAAGTAAGTTTTTTTTTTTATTGTTAGGATCTTAATTTTTTAGATGGATAGTGCCAAACGTCTTGCTTTTGTTTCTATTGCCAGTAGAAAGTGAATTTACTTTTGGATGGGCTTTCTGACGGTTTGATCAGTATCTTATGAGTTCAAATAATTTTGGTTTTGGTAACTCTTTGTTTTTCTACCGACAATTTACTCGTAACTTTTTTCAAGACCCTTTTCTTTGCCAAAAGACGCATGAACATGAATTACTAAGTAATTTTTGCAAAAGTAGATTGCACAAATGGGGTTATAATATGCTTAATTCTTAAATGCAAATGTTGAAATGCTTCAGGAGGCCTTCCAGGTGGCTATTGGTAGTCAGAATAAATATTAGGCCATTTTTAATTGCTTGTTATTAATAAGGAATATCAATTTTATAGATACTATAATGCCTAGGTTGTGTTCTAAAATGTGGAAGAGTGTATGCTGGGCCTGGTTAGGAAGCTTTATAAAGGAGCAGTGTATAACTGAAGGTCAGAAAAGAACTGTTTAACTTTCAAGCTACTTCTGGAACTGCCTGAAAAGATAATCTGCCAAACAGCTGTTCCATGTAGAAACAAGTGTGATGATTTCTGTCTTTGAGCAGCTGCCATTTAGACGGTAATGGTGAAAAGAAAGCCCTCAAAACTTAATGTGTGTGTGTGTGTTGCAAATACATGCTATAGGAACATTTTATGTGTGGGTATATTTCCCAGACATAGGAATGACCTGTTGTAAGTTAAAAGTTATTCTTCAACTCAGCTTAGAAATTACAACACAAAACATGTCAGGTAAGCAATAACTGAATTTGTAACTTTGATACATATTTGTGCAGACGTTAAAAGTAAGCTTTTAGTAGGTTTAATTATGTGTTCATTGTGGAAAAGATAAATTCTATATGGGAACGTTAAATCTTATGTAAGTCATCTATTCAAAATAATTGTAATTTCCTGTATTTCTGTGAGTGTGTACACTGAAAAGGAATTATAGCATTTTTATTGTTTGATACTCTGAAATTATGTTTATTTGACACGTTATAAAGTTGTAATGTGTTTGAAATAAGTTGATTCTACTTCTGTTAATTTGACGGTGGTATAGGCGATATTTTGAATTAAAGTTACTACTGTGAATGTAGCCTATTTTATCTCAAGAATATGTATGTACTGTTTCCTTAGGATGAGTAATTTGGAAGGTAATTTGTAATTATTTTCAATGATGTTAATTATTTATAAACTTCGAGTCATGCAAAATCTGTTGAGGCTAATTTATTTGGAATATATCATATGAAAATTGTTTTTCTTTAGGGAAAGCTAAATGATTAATTGGACAATTATACAGTAAGCATAGACTATATTGCTTCCATATTAGAGAGTATTAAAATAATGTATTTTGAAATGTTTCATTTCTTTTCTAATCCTTCAGTTGGCAACCAGAACGTCAGGTTCCATTTAACGAAGTCAGATTACCACCACCACCGGACATAAAAAAGGAAATTAGTGAAGGAGATGAAGTAGAGGTATGTATTTGTAGGTTTATTTTCTTGTGTGCTTATTATTTTGTTTTACATAAATATTCTTCTAGGGAAATGTGTTTAGGTAATGGAGAATAAATCTAATTCCTTTTTTTTTCTGTTGATAATGGCTGCATAGGTAGTAATGCTTGAGTTTTGGGATCAGAACTGAGATTTGTGTCTCAGCTCTGCTCTTAGCTTTTGTGCCTTGGTCAGATTTCTTTATCACTAAAATGGAAATAATGTGAGAATTAAGGATGATAGGGTATTTGAATTGCTTTGCACAGAATCTGGCACAGAGAACTAACTACAATGTTGATTGCTGTTTTCTGTTTTTTTTTAATTAGTTTGTGGTTTTTCCTCAGATTTTTTGTAAAATACTAATTATCATCCTTTATTATAGTGGTCATTAATGTAGTTTGTGTGTGTGTGAAATATTATAATTAGTATTGCCCTGTTGAATATTCTAGAAATACCCGGAAACTTTTTAAAGTACAGGAAAAACAAAAAGAAAAAAAAAGAAAGTCACTGCCCAGAGATAACAGCCACTGTTCGTGTGTTCCATGTTTTCCCCAACTTTCCTTTCTCCCTTTTTAAAAATAAAAATTAGATCATTTTTACTGCTTTTTTATATCTTGCTTTTTTCATATTTAGTAGATATGATCTTGGGTGTCTGACTCCAAAATGTTAATGTTGATTAATATGTCTGCCATTCTGTACAAAGAAACTTGAAAGAAAATAATTTTCAAATACAAGTGATATGAGTGTGTTAGAAATAGGAAATTTGATTTTTGATTTTCAAGAATTGGCATAATTCCTCCAAGATGGACATACTAAATATGTTTCTCAGAAGGAGTTGGGTTAACAGTAGATTTTCAAGTCTCATTTGTACCTAGTTTATGTAGGATGGGGGAGGAGAATTAGGGGCATACCATTAGTGGTAAAATAGTAATCTGATGGTGTTTATAAACATTTAGCAATATATGCTCTGTGCCAGACACTGTTCTGAGCATTTGGCAAATGAATGCATTTAGTTAATCTGTCAGTTTTGTTTCTCATTTTTTAATGGAAATATTCTTCTGAGTTTCTATAAAATTGTAGATATTATGCTAGGAAACCAAAGAATTGTAGTGATTTAACCCCTGACTACCTGAACTCATTTTCATTAAAAATTCTGCCTAAATTTTAATTACTTGCTCTAAGTTTACCATGTACTCTTGCTTTTGCTAAATCTAAGCATGTTATAACTTAATTGTGTCAGGGCACCATGAGCCCACTCCCTAATAATGTTATAGCCTTTACTTGACTTACTTTTTTCTTTTGTAGCTGACTTAACCAAATGTGGGTACTAAGACCTTTGTAGTAAGGAGACCTGTAACTGTAGTGTCTGTGGTATGTGTTTGTGTCCCTGAGTATAAAATAGGGTACTTGGTGAGTCTTGTGAATTGTAGCAGTAATGCTTCTGATTACTACTTGACTATGTTCACTGGGACTTTAGACTCCAGTGAAAATGGTTTTCTCAGTATTGTATCCTTTTCTAATCAACACCTATCTGTGAGGACTGATAAAAGAGGTGTGGGTTTTGTTTGTTTGTTTGTTTTTTTCAATTTTTAAAAATATATTTGTTTTAGAGGGTTTTTTTTCTCCCCTCAATTCTAGAATTAGAGATATGTGGTGCTCAGCTCTGGGCATAGTGCTTTTCATATTCTTTAAATTGTTGTTCAGACACTTATTGGTAGTTTAAAGGCTCAGATAAAATGAAAAACTTGGCAGAGTGCTGAGGATGTTAATAGTGTTCTTTCCCCAGTCCTTCTTGAGGAAGATCTTATCCATTTCTTGGACCATCTTTTGGCCCATTTGGAAATTGATGATTATAGTGTTTTCAGTTTGTTTTTTGTTTTAGTCTTGGTGAAATTTGCTCCTTAACAATTGTGAGAGTCATCTGAAATGGAGAAATTATTGTCATTTTTTCACTTGAAACGTTTGAAAAAATTTACGTAAGGAAGAAGCTTAAACTTAATATTGCAACTCGTGGATTTATTAGATTTTTAATTTTTATTTTTGGCCACTAATGGGAGTCTATTCACCATACCTGAAATATTTTGGAATGATAGTAAGGCTTTATATATTTAAACCAGTAACTTTTGAAAGCCTCCCACATCTTTTAAATTCAAAGTAATAAAGGTTATGAAATGATAAGAGTATTGCATAATACAAAATGTGAACCTCCCCTCTTAGTGTGGGTTGTAGGAGTTCTAGTTGCCTACCCCAGTTTACATCTCATTTACCAGAATTTAGTGTCTCTTCAGATTTTTTTTGCATTCATAAAGAATGTTTTTGTTACAAAAATTGAAACTATGTTATATATTATCTTTGTGTTTAGTTAATTAGGATATCACACACATTTTCATGTCTGAATGTACAGATGTCATTTCTGCGGATGCCACCATACTATTTCTTAGTACAAATGTATCATAATTAGAAGACATTGAAATTGAATGATTTTTTTTTTGCTGTGATTAAAAAATAGCCAGAATTAATTAATCCTCTTTTTTTTTTAACTGTTTTTTTTTTTTAAGATTTTATTTATTTATCTTTGGAGAGGAAGGGAAGGAGAGAAGGAGAGAAATATCAATGTATGGCTGCCTCTCGTGAGTCCCCTGCTGGGAACTGGCCTGCAACCCAGGCATGTGCCCTGACTGGGAATTGAACCGCGATCCTCTGGTTCCCAGGCCCGCACTCAGTCCACTGAACTACACCAGCCAGGGCTAAAAATGCTTAAATTTACTATATTAAGTTTTTATTTAAGTCATTCTGCTTTCTTTTTGTTAGTCACAAATATTATAACATAGCAGTAATACTAGCTGACACTTGTATAACATTAGCATATATACTATATAGCTGACAAGCTCTTTAAACAGATTAGTTTAACGTAATTTTCTTGAGGAGCTGTGCTAAACTCTACTATTATTATTAATTTTTTTAAGATTTTATTTATTTACTTTTAGAGAGGAGAAGGGAGGGAGAAAGAGGAGAGAAACATCGATGTGTGAGAGATAAATTGATCAGTTGCTTCCCACACACCCCGATTTGGGGACCCACCCAGCCTACAACCCAGGCATATGCCCTGGCTGGAAATTGAACCCATGACCTTTTGATTTACAAGCCAGTGCTCAGTCCACGGGGTCACACCAGCCAGGGCTGCTGTTGCTGCTGTTGTTGTTGTTAACCATTCCAAGGTCATAAAGGCTAAAAATACTGGAAAGCTGATAACCAGTTTTAGTTTTTGTCTTGTTATTTTCTAATGTTGTATTTATAGAGTGTTGTCAGTTTTGTGCCACACTCACAACTCTTCTGTTCTTCTGCAGCTCTGGGAACTCCTCTTTGAAGAAGGGAAAGGTGACTTTGATTTGGCCACTAGAAACAAATTTAGTACAAAAGTGATCCAGGAGAGAGCTTCCCATTGACCTCTTACAGGCATTTATTTAAAAGCTTGGCCATATATAATTTCCATTTTGTAGTTCAGCAATGGTTGAATATTGATAATTTCATATAGTTTACTCTGAGATTCTATTTTTAAAATGTTTGGCTACTTTGAGGTTTGTTTTTCCAGCCAATTTATGAGACTTACATGAAGCTATAGAACACAGTGTCATGATTTATAATGGCCTCAAGAAGATACTATATGTGATTTATAATAGTTTTTAGAGGTCTGAAGTTCAGATATTAATTTGAAACCTAATTAGTTGCTTTTACTTGACTTTAAGAGTGGTGGCATATTTTTAAACACAATTACATATTTTTGATAAATATTTGCCTAATGGCTGATTTTTGCTAACTGAAGATTGCTTAGAAAATAATGCTCAGCTTATAAAGTTGGAAGTAGTGGGAAAATGAAGAATTTCTTAGATTTTATTGAGCTGGTTATATAATGTTCTGGAGCATTGGAAGGGCAGTAGAAATTACCCTAGTGATTTCACATGAAGTGTGCTTTGTCTTATTATGGATATCTGTCTTGCTTAGCAAGTTAATACGCACAAAGTACATGCAAATGTTACATAGTAAGCCTTATATCTCAAGCCAGTATATAATTTGACAAGATTTTCAAGGAAATTCTCTTTGGGTTTAACATTTAAAAAGTGTTTATTTTGAAGATTTCTGGTTGAAATAAGAATTGACAAGTTTTTGTTCTTGTGACATGTATGTCTTTTCTTCCCATCTTTTATGGCAGACTGCCAGACTTGATGATTATTCATCTTTATATTTTAATTATAACATTAGAATAGGTCATTAAAAGGAGTCAGATAAAAGGAGTAAGAATAATTTGAGATAGGACACTCTTACAGTTTTTAAAATTCAATATTTTACTTATAGATGATGTAAATGTACATGTATTGTTTACATATTGTCTTTAAAAGTGTTTCAGTTGATTCTTGAGACCAATCTGAAGATTTTAGCTGTCTGTAGTTAGTCTTTCTCATAATTCCAAGTCCACTGTTAGTCTTAGTGCTTGGGAAATGCTCATACATTAAAAAAAGAGGTGAACAGTTTTTTAAAGTCATATCTTTGTCTTGAAAAGATGGGAATTTTTTTTTAAGACTTTATTTATTTTTAGAGAGAGAAGGGAAGGGAGACAGAGAGGAAGTGAAACATCAGTGTATGATTGCCTCTTGTGTGTCCCCTGCTGGGAACTGGCCTGCAACCCAGGCATGTGCCCTGACTGGGAATTGAACTGGCGACCCTTTCGTTCTCAGGCTGGGGCTCGGTCCACTGAGCCACACCAGCCGGGACTCAGTTTTTAAGACTGTGAAACCCACTTACTAGTGAATCAGCCACAAATAAGAATGAGATAATAATATTGTACAGGTAGATAAATTATATTAGTGTGTTCTATATGTTAAGCTTGCTTTTCATACATTGCAGTGAGATGAAATGGTAAATACAGAGAAATGATAAGTGCTGTATTTCATGTAGTTATGAAAAGTGTCATTATGGTTAAGTATTCAGTTTAGTGCTTAACATTATTTAGAAATTATCTACCTGGTGTTTATTTTCTCTATTGGGTTGTGACTTTGAAAGGCATAGTCAATTGTTAACTTGGATGAAAAGTTAGCAGCATTATTAGGATCCAGACTGGAATTTCATTGAAGTCACAATTTGGTGTGTATTAGAATTTGGAGACCATTTTGTGATAAGGTTTGTAATAACTTGGAGTTATTTGGTGGAAAGAATCCTTAAATAGGCCTTTGGAATTTGATTCTTCATATTCCATCTTTCACACCATAAAACTATAACCTTCAATCTGAATACTATTATGTTTTTAGGTTTTCCATGGCAATTTCTTAGTCCCCTGGTTTTTTTAGCTCTTTCTTGGACTTGAAGAAACTTAGAATGTTACAGCAATGAGGGCTATTGCTTTAGACTAGGAATAGAATCAACCTTGGAGTAGATTGGAGATTTAAGTGACATCTGAAGAAAGGGAATTTCTGTGAGGTGCTCTTATTCCAATGATTTAGTCGTGAATAAATTTCGTAATCAATACTTGGAACATAGTACACTAGGGTACAGTTTTACTTCTGGGTTATTGAAGTGATTAGTTATTGTATGAGATATAGTCCATTTTATATAGGATGTGATTTGACCCACAGCCCTCAAGTAGAGCCAGATTCATAGTCGGCTTCTTGAGAGTGGCTTTCTCTAAGGGATAAAGTTATTAATGAAGTTGACAGAGGTAAGATACAAGTATAAAATGGGACCTAGCATTTCAATGATGAATGAGAAATAAGTTTTCAGAGCAGTCCAGAATTTATTCTTTTGTAGGTAAGCTTACATAGCAAGCCAGATTCCTAGAAGGATTATGCTTTGATAAAAATAGAATTAGAACAAAGGGATTTAAGTAGCTTTAAGACCTGTTTCTCCGCTGCCAGCATTTCAGCTTGAGGCACCCATTTGCTCTACAGCACCAAGAGATACTCTAGCTGAAATGCCTTTCTGAGATAGTGCTTGGGATCATCAAGAACTTGCTGTTAACCCCCAAATCAAATATATTTTGGTGCGCAAACATAAAAGATGAAACGTGTACTTGTAGAAAAACAGAATGGTCGAGATGCTTGTTTGGGGCTTTTCTTTTTATTTTAATCCTCACACATGAGGGAAAATAATCTTCATTTAGCATTTGGGCCCAATGATGCATATTAATTGTTTTTTAAAATATTTTTCACAAGTAAAGATGAAACAATGGAGATAGCCAACATTATAAGATACCTCTTTTTAAAAAGATTTTATTTATTTATCTTTAGAGGGGAAGGGAAGGAGAGAGGGAGAGAAATATCAGTGTATGGTTTCCTCTTGTGTATCCCCTGCTTGGAACTGGCCTGCCACCCAGGCGTGTGCCCTGACTGGGAATTTAACTGCTATCCTCTGTTTTGCAGGCTTGTGCTCAATCCACTGAGCTACACCAGCCAGAGCTATAAGATATCTTAAAAACCATTTTAAACATAGCAAATCCATCTTTTTATTCCCTCTTTTCTTTGTTTGGGTAATACATATACCTAATATGAGCTAAGTTGCCTAAATATTACTGCTCATTAGCTATCATGCATAAAAAATGTAAAACATCAATACAGATAACAAATTTAAAATACATCTCTAATTAGCTTTAGTTTATCATTTCTTCTGGTTCATTTTACACTTGAATTACCAGAATATAATACTTTAAGAATATTTGGAATTATTGGTGGCTTTTTACTGAACAAAGTCATACTCATGTTTGCACTATGATTATACCATTTTAAAAATCGTGCTATTTTCATATTTAACTGATTGGATGGACTAATGCACTGAAGTTTTCTGCATTTCTTCCATCATCTGTTTTTTTCTAGTCATTTTGTATACATACCTACCTTTGGCATTTGGCCACTTACTAACTGAATCAAATATATTTTGGTGCGCAAACATAAAAGATGAAACACGTGTACTTGTAGAAAAACAGAATGGTCGAGATGCTTGTTGCAGGGTTTTGTATAATGGAGTCCCAGTTGAATGGAGCCCCTGGGTGAGAATACTAAAATTTTATTTTTCTTTTTAGAAATGTATTTGGGGGTATCGATCTAGGATTTCATAGTCTGAGATTCTGCTTAAAAGATAAAATTACACATTGATCATTAGAATTTAGAATGCTGTTGTCTCTTTTGCATCCATCTGATTCCTCTGATAATTTTGAAATCCCTCTTTAGATTTTCTTCTCTTTGTAATTCTAAAAATAAAAATCTTGAATTTTTAACTCTTAAGCAGTAGCCCAAAGCCCACAACAATAACAGTGCTTCTAGTCTTTTTTGCATTTTCTTGACTATGTAATAAACCATAGGAGGATATAGTAGTAATGATATATTTCACTGTTGTATTCTTTCAGGTAATATCATCATACTTATGTTTTCTTTCAGATTTTTTTCAAAAGCATAGTTGGAAATAATTGAATGATGATGAAATGGTGAAATAGCAGTGTTTTAAGATACAGGAAAAATGTGGTAACTAGATTCCACCTTAGACTTATAAAAGGACTTGCTGTATTTATATACTAATTGCAAGATAGAGTAATTTTTAAAAAAGATTTTACTTATTTATTTTTAGAGAGGAAGGGAAGGAGAGAAACATCAATGTATGGTTGCCTCTCGTGCGTCCCCTGCTGGGAACTGGCCTGCAACCCAGGCATGTGCCCTGACTGGGAATCCAACCGCGATCGTGTGGTTCGCAGGCCCGCACTCAAGATAAATTTTTTTAAAAAATAAGATTTCTTGGTTTTTGGGGGGAAGACCTATCAGAAAGGATAAATAGTTAGATTTGCTGATAAAAGAAATACAAAAGCTGCCCTGGCTGGTGTGGCTCAGTGGATTGAGTGCAGGCTTGAGAATGAAAGGGTTGCTGGTTCAATTCCCAGTTGGGGCACGTGCCTGGGTTGTGGGCCAGGTCTCTAGTAGGGGGCACGTGAGAGGCAACCACACATTGATGTTTTTCTCCCTCCCTTCTTGCCTCTCTAAAAATAAACTTGAATTTGATTTTCAAGGAGCCAACTTGCCCAAAAAAGGTTGTTTTATTTTTCAGTAGTAAAATTTAGGCTTCCATTACTTTTATTAAACTATGTTCAGTACACCAATTTCAGTACGGTAATATTTTTGATTCTTAAGTTAATGGGACTTAGTATTTATAAAAAGTTATTATTACAATGTTGAAATCTTTTTAGGATGAGTGGTTGAGGTCATTTTTTTTCCTTCTCAGGTATATTCAAGAGCAAATGACCAAGAACCTTGTGGATGGTGGTTGGCTAAAGTTCGAATGATGAAAGGAGAAGTAAGTGACATTAACACTTGGTTTGTGACTAGTTTCCAAGGAAATGCCTCAACTCTGGGTTTCTTTAAATGTTATTTCAGGTCTGTTTTGTTTCTAAAAACAAAACTGTACTAAAAATGTACTTTAGAAATAGTTGATCACACATTTCAAAAATTTCATCACCATTAATTTTTGTTCGGGTTCTGAATTTGCAAACACCAAAGCTACTCTCCAGAGGTACACCCTGACCATGTGAGGACTACCAGGGTTCTTGCTTGTAAAAACCTATAATCTACTTTAGGCAAATCAGATTGATGTAACTAAGCTGTGCTCAGTGTTTGTGCTACACAAGGGAAGGTCTACTGCTTAAGCTGAGCAAGGTAATCAGAACTTCATTTAAAGCTCATTGTTTTTGTTCAGATGGGATTTTTAAAGTATTTTGATGTTTTTTAGTTTTATGTCATTGAATATGCTGCTTGTGATGCCACTTACAATGAAATAGTCACATTTGAACGACTTCGGCCTGTCAATCAAAATAAAGCTGTCAAAAAAAATACCTTCTTTAAATGCACAGTGGATGTTCCTGAAGATTTGAGAGAGGCGTGAGTAATTTTGTTTACTATTGATTTGCGTGAATTAAGAGGATTTTTAAGTGCTACAAAAATCTTTTTTCCCCAAACACCCAATCAAAAACTCTGCTAGAAATTTTTTAAACAAAAGTTTTAATGGATGGTGTCAAAATGAAATACTGGGGTTTATATTATAATTGCCCTCTAAATTTTAATCTGTTACTTAGGTCTTACACATGAATTAATTTCTCTCTAGGTGTGCTAATGAAAATGCACATAAAGATTTTAAGAAAGCTGTAGGAGCATGCAGAATTTTTTACCATCCAGAAACCACACAGCTAATGATATTGGTAAGATAACTCCATTTTTTTTTGGTAGTTGATGGATATTGTGCAGATTTTATAATTGTTTTTAAAAATGAAAGCTAACTTGGTGTATATAGTAAATTTATTAATGCAGTGTGGGAGAACAGTTTTTTGGTAGTTAAAATAACTCAGTTTTGTCTCCTGAAGAAAGGAGAAAAAAATTAATAGGACATTCTCAACATAGTAAAATTCTTAATGTGTGGGGTGTTGGAGTCCTCCCACCCCCATCATAATGTGAATAGAATTAAATAATATGGGAATTCAGAAAGAGTAATATTACTTGTAGGAAGAGGGAGGTATGTTAGGGGAGGAGAGAAATGTAATTGATGAGAATCATGCAAGAATTTATTGTGAAGGTCCTGTTTGTATTATTTTGAAAAATGATTAAATTTTTGAGTGATTAACTTCTTCGTTTATAGTCTGCCAGTGAAGCAACTGTGAAGAGAGTAAATATTTTAAGTGACATGCATTTGCGAAGTATTCGTACGAAGTTGATGCTAATGTCTAGAAATGAAGAGGCCACTAAGCATTTAGAAGTAAGTAGAAGTAGCACCTATTTTGTGGCTAATAATACTTGGAGTCATTATGTTACTTAGAAGAATTGCCTTTTTCCTATTTTCTTAAACATAGCCTTATTTATTTATTTATTTATCTTTTTAAAAAATATATTTTATTGATTATACCATTACAGTTCTATTTCCCCCCTTTATTCCCCTCCACCTTGCATACCCCCTCCCCCACCGTTCCCCCCCTTTAGTTTATGTCCATATGTCTTAAGTTCTTTAGATTCTATATTTCCCATACTATTCTTGCCCTCACCCCTATTTTCTACCTACCATCTATGCTACTTATTTTCTGTACCTTCTCCCCCCTTCTCCTCCTCCCACTCCCCTGTTGCTAACCCTCCATGTGATCTTCATTTCTGTGGTTCTGCTCCTGATCTAGCTGTCCTCTTAGTTTGCTTTTGTTTTAGGTGTGGTTGCTAATAACTGTGAGTTTATTGTTACTTCACTGTTCATATTTTTATCTTCATTTTCTTAGGTAAATCCCTTTAACATTTCCTATAATAAGGGCTTGGTGATGATGAACTCCTTGAATTTGGTCTTATCTGAGAAGCACTTTATCTGTCCTTCCATTCTAAATGGAAGCTTTGCTGGATAGAGCCATCTTGGTTGTAGGTCTTTGGATTTCATGACTTGGAATACTTCTTTCTAGCCCCTTCTTGCCTGTAAGGTCTCTTTTGAGAAATCAGCTGACAGTCTGATGAGAGCTTCTTTGTAGGTGACTGTCCCCTTATCTCTTGCTGCTTCTAGGATTCCCTCCTTCATTTTAATCTTGGCTATGTAATTATGATGTGCCTTGGTGTGTTTCTTCTTGGGTCCAACTTCTTTGGGACTCTCTGAGCTTCCTGGATTTCCTGGAAGTCTCTTTCCTTTGCCAGAATGGGGAAGTTCTCTTTTATTATTTGTTCAAATGAGTTTTCCACTTGATGCTCTTCCTCTTCCCCTTCTGGTACCCCTATAATTCGGATGTTGGAGCGTTTAAAGATGTCCTGAAGGTTCCTAAGCTTCTCCTCATTTTTTTGAATTCTTGTTTCTTCATCCTTTTCTGTTTGGTCATTTTTTCCTCCCTTCTGGTCCTCTCCCTTGATTTGAGCCCCAGTTTCCTTTCCATCATTGTTGGTTTCCTGTGCATTTCCCTTCATTTCAGTTAGTTTAGCCTTCATTTGTTCCTCTAATTTGTGACTAAAATCAACCAGTTCTGTGAGCATCCTGATCACCATTGTTTTGAATGGTGCATCTGATAGGTTGGCTATTTGTTGGTTGCTTAGAGTTATGGGCTTTGGGGCTTTGAGTTCTTCTTGAGCCATAATGTTTTGGTCTGTTCGCGCCTGTTACATAAGAGGGGCTGAGCCCTAGGTGTTCACCAGGGCGGGGCAACTCAGTTGCTGGTTTGTGATGCTGTATGTGGGGGTGGGGTCAGAGAGGGAGCAATGGTAGTCCCCTCTGCTGCTTCCCATTGCTGGGTCCTGTGTGGTCTGTCTCAAAGCTTGCTCCTTTGCCTGGTTTCTCTGCCCGCAAATGTGTGACCAGGGTCAGCCTGGGGCCTTGCACTCTCACTGGGTCTGCCCCTTGCTACCCCAGATCTGGGATCTGGCAACCACCACCCACCCCTTGGTTGGTCTGGCCAAGTTTTCCTGTGCTACCCTGCTCCTCCAGTCACTGCCTCCACCCCTTTTACCATCTGGCTGAATGGTTCATTGTTGTCAACTGTCGTATAGTTCAATGTCATATAGTTCAATTTTCTGTGTTTTGGTTGCGTTTTTGTTACTAAAACTTTGCTGTCTTTAAACTTGGTTGTGCAGGGAGGCACAGTGTTTCCACCTACGCCTCCATCTTTGCCAGAAGTCTCAAAGATAGCCTTATTTATTAAATGCCTATTGAAATTTTTTTTGTGAGGGCTTAGATGACAGGTGCCAAATTGTTTAGAAACTTACTAGGAATATCCAGAGTAAACTATATTGTTAATTCTTCTTTACCCTGTTATTTTAACTTCCCTGTGCCCTGTCAGTCACAACACATTTCCATTGGTAACTTTTGTTTGTTTTTTCAGATTTGAGAGAGGGGGAGGGAGGGAGAAAGAGAGAAACATCAATGCGTGGTTGCCTCTCACTGTGGCCTGCAACCCAAGCATGTACCCGGACTAGAAATTGAACCTACAACCCTTTGCTTTGCAGCCTGCGTTCAGTCCATTGAGCTATGCCAGCCAGTCAGTAACTAGATTATTATAACAGCTGTTGTGTAAGAGAATAGTAGGACACCTAATATGTGATTTTTGAAAAGAAGCTATCATTTTTTTTCTATCCTGTCCTAAAATAACCCTGTTTTCTCCTATTTGTCACTGAGAGACTTGTTCCTCTCATCCTCCCCCAAACATAAAATGCAAATATATACTTAGAGAAATTGAGCTATGTTTATCTTTAAGACAACTTTGCGATGTCCTTATTAATTTAAAAGTTAAAAACAGTCTGTGTGAATGAGTTTTGCAAAATGAATCATCTAAATTAGAGAAGTAGTCTGTATGAGTTATTCTGGAAAATTGTTTTTACAATAACTCTTTTCTGTGACCACGACTAAATAGACTCCTTTATTACATGACCCCAGATGAGCTTTTTTTATTCCTTTAAATTGTTGTAAATTGACATAAGATTTACTATCTTAACCATTTGTAAGTGTAGTTCAGTAGTGTTAAGTATTTCAGATTGTTGATCAGTCTACAACTTTTCATCTTGCCAAACTGAAACTCTACTCATTAAACAATTTCCCTTTCTGCTCCCCCTCATCCCCAGACAATTTCCATCCTACTTTCTGTTTCTATAAATTAGAATCATAATAGTATTAGTCTTTTTGTGACTGGCTTATTTTACCAAACGTAATGTTTATCTACATTGTAGCATGTATTTTCTTTTTAAGACTGAATAATTTTTCAGTGTATGAATATATCACATTTTGTTCATCAATCTGCAACTTGAGATTGCTTCCACATCTTAACTCATGTGAATGATGTTGTCAATGTGGGTATACTAAACAACACTTTTGTTTTTGATCTTTCATAAAAAATTCTAATTTACCTCTTTTACTAGTGCACAAAACAACTTGCAGCAGCTTTTCATGAGGAATTTGTTGTGAGAGAAGATTTGATGGGCCTGGCAATAGGAACTCATGGTAGTAACATACAGCAAGCTAGGAAGGTTCCTGGAGTTACAGCTATTGAGCTAGATGAAGATACTGGAACATTTAGAATCTATGGAGAGGTAAGCTGTTTTCTGTCCCTCGCCAAAATAAGTTTGCTATAATATTAACGATTGCTTAATACTATATTTTAGAATTTCAGTGTCCCAGTGAAAACTCGTTAAAAAAATCAGTCATCCCAGTAATCATTATACGTATATATGTGGATTGAAGGTGATTATTGTATTTTATGGGGCAGTGATTTTGAGTATTTAATGTATGTTATTTTCAGAAGTTTCTTAACCAGCCACTTCTGGGTTTAACTCCGTTTTATGTGGTGATAATTTACAAATAATTTACTCATTTTTTGTGTGCTTATTGTGTATTAGGCACTGGCAGTTGTGCATAACATATAACAGAACAGCTTTGGTAGAACTTGAATTTAGATAATATTTTGTCATTGGTAATTGGAAGTTTGTTTGGACAGGAAAATAATATGCTAGGTAAATAATTCAGATTTTTCATTGGGACCAACCTTCACATTAGAATAAATGGATGAGGTGGTTTGGGGTGATAATTTCAAGTTTCGGCTTTTCACACATAGCTATTAAAAGCTTGAGTTATAAATCTGACTAGAGGCCTGATTTTTATTTCTGAAACTTTGAGAAGTGGGCAATATAACAGAAGATGAAAGTCACTGGAGTCATACTGCCTGAATTGGAATTCTATGTATCACTTTGGGTGGGCTTGGTGAAAGTTGCTTAATCTCCTTGCATAAGTTCCCTCATTATACCATGTAAGAAAGCCATTTCCTCACTGTAAGTGTAACAGTGCTTAGCTTATAATTTATGAGGATTTAAATACACTTTAAAATTTTTATTGTGCATGGTATATATGAGTATACTGTGGTTATTAAAGAATAAACAGTAAAAGTAGAAGTTAATTCTTATAGAGAACTGTGAATATCCTCTATAAGATATAGAGAGATATCAGGGAGCGCCCCCCCAAGCCTCTCCCATCTTACAGCCTTCTAAAATTATACCCATTAGAAATTAGGAACTTTAATGATCTTATTGATAGGCACTTTTTAAATGTATCTCTGTAAAATCAACTTTTTAAAATCATTTGAGAATAAAAAAATTGCACACAGTATAGACAGCATGATCAATTTGTTTTTAATATTCACCTGGAGATAATTCATCATGGGAGAATAGACTTACATATTTAGGACTGGGTTTAAATTTGCCTAATGTAAGTTAAACTCTTGCTAATTTTCTCAGAAGCCTAAGAGAGGACCTTAGAGTTATCTAACATGTTTTTGTTCTATTAGTTCTTTTTTCCTAGTCTTAATGGTTGCTTTTTTTAAAAAGTGCTTCATGAATTCCTTTACATGAAATGGTACTCTAGTGGACTGAGCTTATTAATAGAATGTAATGATTTAAATTTTTCTCATTTCTCATATTTTTGTTTTGGATTGTGGGGTTTTTTCAGGATTTATTTCATATATGTTTTTCTCCTGCCACCCTCAGAGTGCTGATGCTGTAAAAAAGGCTAGAGGTTTCTTGGAATTTGTGGAGGATTTTATTCAGGTTCCTAGGAATCTTGTTGGTAGGTATTTTTACTACATGTTAACTAAGTTAAATGTTATTTAATTACATACAGTGACTTAATTTGAAAATCAGTCTTTTTGTTCTGAGTTATGTTATTTTAATAACAATATGTGTTTTTATGTTTTCAGTAATAACGTATGTGACTTGTATCTTGTCATGTTAAGATGTCTTCTTCTGTAGAGGGTAACCCACTAATAAGACCCATGATTTTTATAACACTTTGCTATTGCAGTTTTTAAGCCAATTTATGCCTTTGGATCTTTCTTACCATTCTTGTTCACTTAAATGTCTTTTTATTATTTATAACAAAATTGTCCATACTGTTTGATAAGGTTAGGATAATTTTTGTTTGTTTAGTGCAAAAGAGTAAGTAAGAGTGAACCAACAATAGGGTAATTAATAATAAAACTTACACAGTAGAACCTGAATAGTGATTGGTTTTTGCTGGGCAGAGAGGAGGATAGTAATGATGATGATCTGATGAGAGGTTTTGCTGGTAAGTTTTTGATGCCATTAATGAAAACTATTGTACCTGTGAATTATAACTTGTGACAAAAAATTTTGAGGCTATAGTTAAACAACGATTATAGCTTGGGGTGAGTTGTCATTGATATCCTCTATATCCGTGTTGTCTGTCCTTTTAAATGGCATTTGAGACAAATGGGAACGCTTTTATCACGTTAAATATGCATGGATCATTCTAGAAGTTTAATATAAAAATACACATCACCATAAAGTAGTGAAATTTACTGAGAGGGGTGAATTTTTATCACCTGTTGTATGTCACCAGTTTTTTAACCTTATTGAAATAATTAAGCTCCATTGTTATTAGGCCTATTTTGCCTTTAGGAAATGATTTCTTTGCTTTTGATATTTTATTCGTCAAATTCTATAAAACAAACAGTAATAGAAAAAATTAACAAAAATAAAGTTTCCACTATAATAAGATGTTTTATAACAACTAGTATATTCTGATACAGTAGTCTACAACCCAAGAATTGGACAGTTTCTTTGTACTCAGCTGTTATATAAAAAGCTTTTCAATTTTGCCCAAACATTATGACATGCTGCCAGTTAAGTAAGCTCTACTTCATTTGTCATGGAATCGATGTTCACTGTAGACTAATTTTAATAAACATTATTAAATGTTTATTTAAAGTGTTATCTAATGTTTGTGTTATCTGATGTAAAAGTGTTATCTAATGTCTATTATCAAATGAAATCACTTAGAGAATAAAGCTGCTTTTGAAAGGGATCCCTTTTTTGTTTAAATTATATTCAATTATTGACATCAATACTAACATTGGTTTGCTGCTAAAATGTAATTTGAGTTTCTTCACCCATAAAAATTATTTGGAGGTAAATACTAGGGAATCAGGGTTCTTTTCAACTCAGTAATGCTATAGGAAATAGCCTCAGTCTTAGAGTCTGTGGTAGGGTTAACCTTGAGTAAGAAGTTAGGAAATCGTATATACTTGTGGTTCTCTGAGTCTTTATTCATTTATTTTATGCAGTGATATCCATGATTACCATGTCTCTTTTTTTTCCTCTTGGTTGGCTTTGATTTGGGTTATTTGTGTACTCTTTAGGAAATCTGTATTAGCAGCAACTATTATACGTTGGTGAAATTTTCAGAAGAAGTATAAAGATTTCAATTGGTTGTTGTATATAATAATACTACATTTCCTTCCGAAATGTTTTATGGGTGAAGCAGTCTTTTGAAAAGTAACACATTTTTAGTTCAAGTGAAAGAGAAAAAGAGGACTGAGGAGTAAAAGGGAATGAGGACTACTTGGTGGGTAAGTTCCAGAGAGGATTTCTTTACACATTCAGGTTCTAAGAGTTATAGAACTTAACCATTCCCAGCCCTCCCAAATCAAAAAAATACTGTGTGAACATTGATTTGAAAATGAATCAAAATTTTCACCTCCTAGCAGCTTTCCTTAATCACTTCTCTACTCTGTCCCTTCAGCATTTTTTGTTCAGTGCTCAATTTAAACTGCAGGTCTGCTTCAGTTTATCAGTATGCTTTGGAATTTAAACTATGGAAAATGATCAGTTAAAATTTTGACGGTCTCTGGTGGGACTAAATAAAACTTGCAGGTAGGTCCTTGCCATAGACCCCAGAAGGGTGATGGATGTTCACTCATCACTGATATAGTTCATAAGAAGAAAGGGGCAAAGATTGGGGTGGGAGAGTTATGACATATCAACCTGAATTTTGTTATTTCGAAGGTATTTGCTTATTTTTAGCAGGGTCAAGGATGCGAGTTGCTGCTTGAGCTTCACTGTGTTAACTATGAAGGTTGCTTTTATATGCTGCTGCTAGGGCTGCTCAGAGAAGACATGTGAATTTCCTGACTTACTCTATGTTATCTTTTTATCTGTTCATTACTGTTTTTAAATTCAGAGTTATTAATGGGGAAGGGGGTTTGAGATGAGAGAGAGAAAATCTTGTTTCTTTGCCGTACTGACCAGCATACTGTTGTCATTGTTCCCTTATTCATTCTTTAAATTGTTCTCTCAAGCATCAATATGAAAAACTTCCGTTTTAACCCCTTTCAACCAAAATTAATTTATTGTGGAAATACATTGCTGATTCAGTAAAAAAAAAATTTTTTATTTGGGATTTGTACTTAATAACAAATATGGTGTTGCTATTAACTTTATAAGGGATACATCATTTTATTTAGTGAAGTTACCTGAATATTCTGTTACCAGGTAACACTGTCCAGTATTGGTTTGTTATTTTAAAATTGTGAATGTTGTAACCAATAAGTTCCTAAGGGGAAGAGAAGTCTTCATGGACAAACTTTTAGGTTGTCCTTTAATTATTGGAAACTCAAGAACTGCTGTTTGACGGACGTAAAGGTTAGATATGGAGAAGGTTAATAATTTGGACTTTTGTCATTTTTATAGTATTTCATATTAGGAAAACAGCGTATCATATGCTGTATGTATTTGTATAGCTTTAAGGTACTTTAAAAACATTGGTGTAAATGTTCCACGTTACATGTAAACATTTAATGTCTGAAGAGATTATTTTAAGTTACATCTTCAAGTCACAGATGTCTTTTGAACGGATAGAAACTTGACAATAAAATCAAGATTGTAGTTGTTGTTCGAATTACTATACATAATAATAAACATAAACAAATTGATATTAATGCTAAAATAAAAGTTTTGTTTTTGTCTTTATGTATACAAGTTTTTTAAATCAGTTGGACTCGATCTTTTAAAATATTAAACTGATGTAGAACATCTTAAAAATGCTTAGACTTTGCAAATATTTTCCATGTGAGCAGCATTATCCATCCAGTTAATAATGTCCTTAAGTATACTGAAGAGAAAGAAATTCCAGCCAGTGATAAAATGTCTCAGTAGGGGAGACAATTAGGGGAGAGTTAATTGAGAGTATAAAGATACAACATTGCTTGGTTTTTATAATTTAATGGAAAGTCAAATTATTTGGACATCTGCTGAAAGGATAAAAGTATTGGTTTTTAATTTACTGTTATATTTGTTTTCTCTTATTAAAGGAAAAGTAATTGGAAAAAATGGCAAAGTTATTCAAGAAATAGTAGACAAATCTGGTGTGGTTCGGGTGAGAATTGAAGGAGACAATGAAAATAAACTACCTAGAGAAGATGTAAGTATTTAAAATTTAATTTAACTGGCCTGTTGTTTTCTTGGCTTGACTTAATTTTTAAAAATATATTGCTTATGCTATTACAGTTGTCCCATTCTCTCCCCTTCACTCCCCTCTGCCCTGCACACCCCCTCCCACCCACATTCCCACCCTTTAGTTCATGTCCATGTGTCATGCATATAACTTCTTTGCCTTCTACATTTCCCATACTATTTTTACCCCCCCCCCCATTTTCTACCTGCCGTCTATGCTTATTCTCTGTACCTTATCCCTTCTCTCCTCCTCCCACTCCCCTGTTGTTAACCCTCCATGTGATCTCCGTTTCTGTGGTTATATTCCTGTTCTAATTGTTTGCTTTGGTTTTGTTTTAGGTGTGGTTGTTAATAATTGTGAGTTTGCTGTCATTTTACTGTTAATATTTTTATCTTCTTTTTCTTAGACAAGTTCCTTTAACATTTCATATAATAAAGGCTTGGTGATGATGAACTCCTTTAACTTCACCTTATTTGAGAAGTGCTTTATCTGCCCTTTCATTCTAAATGATAGCTTTGCTGGATAGAGCAATCTTGGATGTAGGTCCTTGCCTTTTGTGATTTGGAATACTTCTTTCCAGCCCCTTCTTGCCTGTAAGGGAATTCTTTTGTAGGTAACTATCTTGGTGCTTCTAGGATGCTCTCCTTCATTTTAATCTTGACTAATGTAATTGTGTGCCTTGGTGTGTTCCTCCTTGGGTCCAACTTCTTTCGGACTCTGAGCTTCCTGGACTTCCTGGAGGTCTACTTCCTTTGCCAGATTGGAGAAGGTTCTCCTTTATTATTTGTTCAAATAACTTTTCCACTTGTTGTTCTTCCTCTTCTCCTTGTGGTATCCCTATGATTTAGATGTTGAAACATTTAGATGTCCTTGATGTTCCTAAGTCTCTCTCTTTTTTGAATTCTTGTTTCTTCGTTTTTTTCTGATTGGATGGTTCTCTCTCTTGTCCACACCGCTGATTTGAGTTCCATTTTTGTTCTCATTACTACTGATTCCCTGTACATTTTCCCTTTTTTTTCATTTAGCATAACCTCTTTTTTTTTTAAATCTAATTTACGACCAAATTCAACCAATTCTGTGAGCATCCTGATTACTAGTGTTTTGAGCTCTGCATCTGATAGGTTGGCTGTCTCTTCATTGCTTAGTTGTATTTTTTCTGGAGTTTTGGTCTGTCCTTTCATTTGGGCCTTTCTTTTTTTTCTTTTCTTTTCTTTTCTTTTTTTTTTTTTTTGTCTTGATGGGCCTGTTAACAAAGTGAGAGGCAGAGCCTTAGGTACAACCCCTTTAGGTGGGTTGTGACACTGTGTGGGGGAGGTGTTAAAGAGGGAACAGTGCCACTTGCTCTGCTCTCTGCCAGATTTCAGTCATTCCCCCTGCTTCCCACAAGCAAATTGGGTCCTTCTGGTGCTGGTTCCCGGGTGGGTGGGCTTGTGTATGTTCTAGGACCCTGTGGGTCTCTCCAGTGAACTCTCCTGTGAGTCTGGGAGTTTTCTCCTGTTGCCACCTCAACCCCCACAGGTGTTTTCAATCAGTTGTTTGAAACTGTATTTCCTGCCCTGGCTGGTGTAGCTCAGTGGATTGAGTGTGGGCTGTGAACCAAAGGGTCGCTGGTTTGATTCTCAGGCAGGGCACATGCCTGGGTTGCAGGCCAGGTCCCCAGGGCCACATAAGAGGCAACTACACATGGATGTTTCTCTCCATCTTTCTTCCTCCCTTCCCGTCTCTCTAAAAGTAAATAAATAAAACGTTAAAAAATATTTTTTTAAAAAAGGAAAGAAACTGTATTTTTCTGCGCTGGGGCCCCCCTGGTTTGTGTGGTCTGTCCCGCTCCCCAGTTTCACCTGGTTTATCTGCGAGTGAATGTGGGACCACCCAGTCCACCACCTGCTGCCTTCAGCCTTTCATATCACCCTGCTGGCTAACTTCAGCCTTTCATATCATGCCCAGTTCCACAATCAGCCACCTCGCTGGGTCCACTAGCCTCAGCTTTGTGAGGCCCAGTCCGCCAGCTGCTACCTTCCTTTCCTGCCCAGGTCCTCCAGCTGCAGCCTTGCTGTGAGTCCTCTCTGTCCTGGCTGTGCATCTCTGCCCCTCCTACCCATCTGGATAAATGTGTCTTCTTTAACTCCATGGTTGTCAGACTTCCATACAGTTTGATTTTTCTGTCTGTTCCCCCTTTTTTTGTTTTTAAATTGTTGTTCTCTTTTGGTCGTACACGGTCGGTGGCACAGTGTGTCTACCTATGCCTCCCTCTTGGCTGGAAGTCTTAATGTTGTTTTATGTATTGGAAATTATTTAATGAAGTTGTATGTATCTTAGCGAACTACTTAGAATGTTATATCGAGTAAGATACACTCTGGTGCAGTGGATTTAAAAAAAAGTAAATCATGTTTCTTCCCTGACCCATGTGACTCAAATGTTTGGACTGTGCTGCACATCTAAAGGTTTCAGGTTCTCTTCCTAGTCAGGACACATGCCTAGGATCTGGGTTTGATCTCTGGTCGGGGAATGTTTGAGAGGCAGCCAGTCATTGTTTCTCACATAGATGATTCTTTCCCTCTCTTCCTTTACCACCTCCTTAAAGAAAAAAAGCGAAAGTAAAACTAAAGAATAAAAATAAAATTATTTAACTTGTAATATTTCTTTGCATGCTTAGAAAACAAGTCATCTTTTAATTGTGGGTCTTGGGTTCTTTGTTGGTTTCTCAGAACTTAGTAAGCCAGTGTTTTGACTAAAGGCTTCAATTTAATAATCTTACCAGTTCTTTTTAATAGTTAGAATGTAAAGCTGTTCAATGTGATATTCAACCAACAGTCTTTTATGAAGAAATTCTTGATAAACAACATTCTCATTGACATTTTTAGAGAACCCAAAAGCACTGAGCAATTATTAATTGAGACCTTTAAACTTTTATGTTCTTATTTTGATATCAGCTTTCTAAAATCTTTCAATTGTTATTCTCACATATTAATATTTTGTCCATGATGTTGTTCTTTACTGTTCATACATCATTTTGAGGATCTCTTGCCTTTGTGGCTCCTGTAGTGAACTCTGTATAGTTTACTTAAACTTTATATGTCTGAATATAAGGCAAGGATTTTCCTCCAAATTACCTTCCAGCAATACAGTCACAACTTCTTCAGTTTTGCACAATAGACTACTATTTGGAGAGTTTTTTAGCCTATTGAATAGTCTCAGTCTCAAAAACAAAATAGAGAAACTGTAGACATCTAACCTAGATAAATGGCCTCATATCCAGAATGTTGTAGAACTGCCTATCAAAGATAGTCACTTCCTTTATTCATTTCAATTAGTTAAAATGTAGAGGTAAATATACTTTTTAAATTAATGAAGAAAAACAATTGACTTAGTGTACTGTACAAATGAGGACTCCATGGCTCAGGTTGATTTCATCTTGTACTATTTCCAAAATTGCTATAAATCTCTAGTAACTTAGTCTTTTAAAAAATATATATATATATTTCATTGATTATACCATTACAGTTCTATTTCCCCTCTTCATTCCCCTCCATCCTGCACACTCCCTCCCCCACCATTCCCCTTTAGTTTATGACCAGGTGTCTCAAGTTTTTTAGATTCTATATTTCCCATACTATTCTTGCCCTCACCCCTATTTTCTACCTACCATCTATGCTACTTATTTTCTGTACCTTCTCCCCCCTTCTCCTCCTCCCACTCCCCTGTTGCTAACCCTCCATGTGATCTTCATTTCTGTGGTTCTGCTCCTGATCTAGCTGTCCTCTTAGTTTGCTTTTGTTTTAGGTGTGGTTGCTAATAACTGTGAGTTTATTGTTACTTCACTGTTCATATTTTTATCTTCATTTTCTTAGGTAAATCCCTTTAACATTTCCTATAATAAGGGCTTGGTGATGATGAACTCCTTGAATTTGGTCTTATCTGAGAAGCACTTTATCTGTCCTTCCATTCTAAATGGAAGCTTTGCTGGATAGAGCCATCTTGGTTGTAGGTCTTTGGATTTCATGACTTGGAATACTTCTTTCTAGCCCCTTCTTGCCTGTAAGGTCTCTTTTAAGAAATCAGCTGACAGTCTGATGAGAGCTTCTTTGTAGGTGACTGTCCCCTTATCTCTTGCTGCTTCTAGGATTCCCTCCTTCATTTTAATCTTGGCTAATGTAATGATGATGTGCCTTGGTGTGTTTCTTCTTGGGTCCAACTTCTTTGGGACTCTCTGAGCTTCCTGGATTTCCTGGAAGTCTCTTTCCTTTGCCAGAATGGGGAAGTTCTCTTTTATTATTTGTTCAAATGAGTTTTCCACTTGATGCTCTTCCTCTTCCCCTTCTGGTACCTCTATAATTCGGATGTTGGAGCGTTTAAAGATGTCCTGAAGGTTCCTAAGCTTCTCCTCATTTTTTTGAATTCTTGTTTCTTCATCCTTTTCTGTTTGGTCATTTTTTCCTCCCTTCTGGTCCTCTCCCTTGATTTGAGTCCCAGTTTCCTTTCCATCATTGTTGGTTTCCTGTGCATTTCCCTTCATTTCAGTTAGTTTAGCCTTCATTTGTTCCTCTAATTTGTGACTAAAATCAACCAGTTCTGTGAGCATCCTGATCACCATTGTTTTGAATGGTGCATCTGATAGGTTGGCTATTTGTTGGTTGCTTAGAGTTATGGGCTTTGGGGCTTTGAGTTCTTCTTGAGCCATAATGTTTTGGTCTGTTCGCGCCTGTTACATAAGAGGGGCTGAGCCCTAGGTGTTCACCAGGGCAGGGCAACTCAGTTGCTGGTTTGTGATGCTGGATGTGGGGGTGGGGTCAGAGAGGGAGCAATGGTAGTCCCCTCTGCTGCTTCCCATTGCTGGGTCCTGTGTGGTCTGTCTCAAAGCTTGCTCCTTTGCCTGGTTTCTCTGCCCGCAAATGTGTGACCAGGGTCAGCCTGGGGCCTTGCACTCTCACTGGGTCTGCCCCTTGCTACCCCACACTTGGGATCTGATCACAGCTGCCTGTGTGCCTGGGTCAGGGGGATCTTTACTGCCTGACCCTGCTATGCCTCCGTCTTGGCGGAAGTCTTTAGTAACTTACTCTTAAGAATACTTTCTTCTCCTTACCACCATTTTTCATGACTTTAGGAGCCTTGACATAAGGAATAAAGTTAATGGTGTCATACTATTATAATTGGTACTTTCCCCTTTGATACTTAATATGTAAAATAATGGAAATTCATTATTATACAGCCACTATTTGAAATTGGTCTGAAGATCAAGATGTTCACTGGTAAAGGCTAAGACTCAAGTATAAATTTTTTAGCTTGATACTGACATTTGATCTTCCCTTATCTGGATTTATCCCCGTTGCTTTCCATTATTTGTCTTCTTGCTGCTAGTGAATTCCTCTAGCTTGTCCTTCATAAATAAAAATTTACAGTCTAGTGTTTATAGTTATGGTCAGTGTTACTGCTGTTTCTGTGCTAGGGTTAAATTTAAATGCTTACAGAGACCAAGCAGATGATGTAAATGATGATCAAGTTGGAATGTATAAGCCTGGGATGGGTTGGGCACTTGAATGCCTTTCTGTAAAAAAAAAAAAGCAGAAGCTGTTCAGCTTTAATCTGATTGACATGTGGGACTGCTGCCTTGTATTGCTATATCCTGATGTTTTTAAAAGAAGCTGGAAATCTATAATACTGTAATTTTTCTATACAGTAGAAACATTGAACGTTTTTGAAACATTGCTTGTTAAAACGAATCCGAAGGTAGGTATTGGCTTATTTCATACCACTGTTTCTCAGTTTAAGCTGTCTAAATCCCCTGGAGACTTTATAACTTGGTGAAGTCTTTGGTGACTCATTTCTGGCCTAAGATTACCTTTCCCACCTGTATATGTAGTAACTATTGTCTGTATAGTTGGGTATTGAATGGTTTTCTTGCAGCCTTCTATTTTTTTTGGTTAATCTTGTATCTCCAAGCCAGGTTATAAACTACTTGATGTCAGGAAATCAAATCTCAATTCTTAATTTCTTCATTTTTCCCTAGCTCAATGAATTGTACAGAGTAGGTACTTGATGTTTTAAATCACTTAATTAAGATTTTTTAAGACTAGAGTTTTTTTTTTTTAGAGGGGAGGGGGAGGAGAGAGGGAGGAAATTTGCTGGTGGGTCTGTGGGAATGGGGGGCGCTATTGAAGCAGGTTTTAATTATAAAATATATTTAGGAATTAGAATAGCACAGAAGAGGGCAGGCCCAGAAAAACTGGAATTGTCTTCTGGAGTGGGGAGCCTTTTGTAGTACAGGCTTCCCCTGCTAAGTGAGTGTTCTAGGAATCCATCTGTGTTAGTGTCCAGCTGGCATTGTTGTGAGAGGCTGCGTTCAGCCACAGTGGACGTTTTTGTAGACTCATTCAACACGTTTGCCTATTTTTGTGATGGGTGATTTTATGATCCCACTTACCCACAGCATGCAGAGTGTTTTGCAGTTTCTGACCAAGAAAAGGCATGACCCATGTGCTCCATCCTCCCTGTTCACTGGGTGTCACCCTGAATTACTTTTCTTTTGTTTCACTGGATGACAAAAGTCCTCAAACAGAAACCTTTTGCAAATGTGGAAGAGGTGAAACAAAAAAATGGCAGAAACTAGAAGGCATCAAAATCAACCAGTTCAAAAACTGTTTAGAGCAGTGGGGAAAATGTGTTGATAGGTATATTCCATCAAAAGGAGAGTATTTTGAAGGTGACTGAAGTTTAAACATGTAGAAATAAATATATAATTTTTCATAAATTAATGGTTTGGTCCCTCCCTCATATAGTGTGAAAAATAAATGTGTATTCTATATCCTTTCCATATCTCTCCTTTCTCCATCATCCTTTAGATTTTTGACTGTTGTCAGTTGACTTTTCATGTCTGTTTTGCTATTAAAAACATTGCAGCAAACCTGCCTTCTGACTGGAGAGTAAATTTCTGGAATTGGATTTGTTAAATCAAACAGTATATGGAATTTACATCTATATATTAAATTCATGGTATTTAAATATTTAGATCTTGCTAAATTTTCCCATACATTTCCTCCACGAGTATAGAAAATGTCTACTTTCCACGTATTTGACCAATACTGAGTTTTATCAAATTTCATTTGTGCCATTTCATAAGCTGTACGTGTTATCTTTCCATATGCTTAAAAGACCTTTTTTGTGTGGAGAGCTTGTTCTTTGTTCTTTGCGTATATATATTTTTTCTACTGAGTTATAAGAGTTTTTTGTGTTATAAGGAAGTTTGTCTTTTCATTTTGTTTCCTTTGATAATTTCTTGTGGAGACATAATTTTTCGTTAATTTGTTTGTACTTTATGATGTGACTTGTAAATTTTTGTTACGTTTGGCAGGGTCTTTCCTACTCGTAGATCATTCAGAATTCATATATGTTGTTTCTTTAGGCCTTTCTCCCTTCTGTCTGTCCATCCGTAAACTTTTCACTCATTAGATTAGAAAAGCTGATACAAACTGATACTTAAAAAAGTACTTCCTGAAAGTTTAGCATATTTAAATGCTGCATTCTAGCGCAAATTAGGGTTTTTTTGTTGTATCAGGACCAAGAATTCAGCTTTATTTTTTGAGTGTCAGTTTGTTGTCTTAATAACATCTAAATGTAAATACAAGTAATCAGTTTTTTAGCAAGTTTTAAAAATTAGGAATTTCACTGAAATAATTTACAAATGAATTCATATATTCAGTAATAATTGTTCTTTAATTTTTTTTATTACTGCTTTATAATAGTCATTAAATTATGTGCCTTTTTACTTCTCCTTTTCTTTGGCAGTAGACATTGGTGATGATATTTCCAGTTTAGGGTTAAGGATTTTATTACTCTTACTAGTTACAGACCATCTGTATAGAGTGACTTTCCCTTCTTTATGTACTTGGTAAAGTCTTACTTGTTTTTAACATCCACTCAGTAACGGCAATAATGTTCTTATGATTTTCCCTGAGTTTCCACATCTGAGATGGCAGAAAATTCACATTCTGTCATCACTAATGGCTATCCAGTTGGGATTATTATAAGAATGGTTAGTATCTTTTCTGAGATTGTGATGGCCTTTAGAGCAGGGACTTTATTCCTAACCGAAATTTTGGTAATTAACAAGTGAATGTTATTTGGAACTAGGTAACTGGGTATGTAATTGGCTGGCTAATTTTATGACTTTGGGCAAATTGTTTTCTCATGTATAAAACTGGAAGTTTTAAAAATATAGAGATTTAGAATAATGTAGTCCCAGAAATAGGGTTTGTGCTTAAAGTCTATTAGATCTTTTTCTCCCCCTTCTCTGACTTTTATTTACTTTTCATCCTCTCTTATCTGCCTGTGAATTCCTGAGGACTGGGTCAAGACTTCCTCACTTGTAAGCCTGTTAGGTACCCTTGTTTTCATAGTTGTAATTACCTTAAAAGTTACTACAGCTTTCTGTAAGCTCCGTGATACCTGTGCTCTGTCCTGCATCTTTAACATCTGCCCTGGTGTGTTTCTTTCTACTTTCAATTTCCCATGTCTTGAAAATGTCATAGAGTAGTTTCTTACACATCAAAAGTTCCTAAGCTACGCTTAGTTCCATAACTGTTAGGAACTGTTCTGTGAAATCAAGAACATTAAAAGAAACACTGAAGCTGTTTGAGTCCATTTATTTATTTAGGCTTTACTCATTCTTCTCAGATCTTAGTAAACTGGATATATATATATATATAAATATTTATTTTTAGAGAGAGGGCAAGGGAGGGAGAAAGAAAGGAAAAGAAGCAGCAATGTGTGGTAGCCTCTCATGTGTTCCCTAGTAGAGACCTGGCTTGCAACCCAGGCATGTGCCCTGACTGGGAATTGAACCTTCTGCCCTTCGCTTCGCAGGCCCATCCATGCTCAATGGACTGAGCCACACCAGCCAGGGCTGGAGGTATATTTTTTTAAAGGAAAAAAAAAAAACCAAAACGTAATTTGGTTAGCCTGGTTATCTTTCTCCCCATCTTTTGTTTTTTCTTTTTTAACACCAGTCCTTTTTTGAAGGTCAGCAAAGTAAACCAGGTGGATTAATCCTTTGACTTGGCTTTAAAACTTGTGACTAAGTATATGTCCTTACCAGTAACTCCTTTCTTTTGTGTAAATATTTATGTTCTATATGTGATACTTACGTTAATGGTTGATAAGCATTCCCTCCAAAACAGAAATTTGTTTTGTTATCTGAGCATATGTTACGAGGATACCTTGTCACTGCAAATTGCTACAATACATGTAGTGTAAATACATGCCAACTAGAAGAAAAAAATTTTCAGGAGTTGGTTTATATATGTAGAAAAGTAGATTGAATTAGAAATTTAAAAGCCTGATATAAACTGATATTTAAAAAGTAATTTCTTAAATACTAAGCTGTAGTGCAAATATAACAAGTTACTGAAAATTTCAGTATTGCTAATTATTTTTTAGCAGTATATTTTAAAGTTGAAGTTAAATAGGTGGTAAATTGTTGTGTGTTTCAGAATAGCTTTCCAAATTATATATTGGTATGTCAAATTTAGGCTAGAACTTTGTTCAAATATTAAGTGCTGAAGGATGTTGTATTTTCTTACAGGGGATGGTTCCATTTGTATTTGTTGGCACTAAAGAAAGCATCGGAAATGTGCAAGTTCTCTTAGAGTACCATATTGCTTATCTAAAGGTTGGTATGCTGTTCACATTTATAACATTGTTGCTCCCTACATTAACCTTAAGTTTAAGTTTATTTAATATTTGTAGTAAATTTCAAATCTTTACATATTTTTAATTTAGGTTTAGATATGCCCTGTTTTTCTGTGAGAATTTAGAAATAAATGGTCTTTGGCATAGTAAAGTGACTTGCCTCAAGCATATTGTTTTCTTTCCCTCTGAAGTTTTACATTTCTTTCCTTACTATTTAAGAAAAGGTTACTCTTGTGTTCCTGTGATTTGACTGTTGTCACCTATGTACCTTACCTACATGTTCTATACTAGAACTGTTTTGCTTTTACCTTGATGTTTTACATGCAAACAAAGCACAGACCAAGAGTGAAGATAGGCTTTCTTTGTAACTCTTGTTACCTGAAACAAATGCACGATCTTCTAGTTTTTATAATTTTTTACTGTGTCTGATGTAGCTTGAGTTGATAAAGACCAAGGGTTTTAGAAAAGAAATGCCCTGTAAATTACTAAAAGTTGGATTTGTCATTTTCCACTGTTCTTTTTTACTCCTGCTGTGTTTTTCTTAGAGTATAGTAACTTTCTCAACTACTGTGTAGTACATTTTCCTTTTAGTCACTCATCATTGCTGCTCAATCAGTATTTTGAAAGCACCTCTGATAATCTCATTCCATCACATTCCTTTCTTTTAATGCTTTTTATTATTCTCAGTTCAGTCTGGCATTGTAAGTCCATGTTTTATCTTTCAGTATTCTACTAAGTATTCTGCTAACTTTTGTAAAGCCAAGAGCTTTGTTTAGACACCTTACCTTCACATCCTGTGATGACCTCAGTTACTGAATGCCCAAGCCTACTAGTTTACGTAGATCACAACTCAGGTGTCATTATTTTGATAGGAAAGTAGATTATTAATGGTACCTCTCCTAGATGGTAACTGAACCTCATTGAATGGTGGTAACTCCTTCAAAGCTAAATTTGGTAACATTGTGTACTTATTAGCTATTTAACAAATGGGTTTTTTTAAACACTTGTCTGTTGAGCATCCTCTTGAAGGAGGAGAGGCCTTGTCTTTTTTTTTTTTCACATTGCATGCCTGTAGCACAAACGCGCAAATGGGCCAGTAAATGATTGGTTAATTGAGTTACCAAGTGATGTCGCAGGTTTTGTTTACTAAGAGCACAGTTAGGTGTACTTGATTGGATGCTGGAGATCATAGCTTCTTCATTGGTAGGGAGTATAGCTCTAGCTTTTGTTTTTAAGAAAACAAAAGGTTACAAATAAGATTTACCCTTTCTTATTTTGATCACAGGAAGTAGAACAACTAAGAATGGAACGCCTACAGATTGATGAACAACTTCGACAGATTGGTATGGGTTTCAGACCTTCTTCCACCAGAGGGCCTGAAAAAGAGAAAGGATATGCCACTGATGAAAGTACCGTCTCTTCTGTACAAGGTTCTAGGTCTTATAGTGGAAGAGGCAGAGGTCGTCGGGGCCCTAATTACACCTCCGGTTATGGTAAAAAATCAATTTTTTTTGTTACTAGTTTTTGTTTAGGTGCTCCCATACATTTTGCTTAATATTATTTAGTTCCTCACATTATCTTCACTTTGAGGGTAGTGGATAGTTCTGAAGTATATGTTTCATTAGCCTTGATGGCATATTTTAACATTAATTACTAAAAGGTATGGAATGTTCAAGCAACTACGTAATGAAATGAAACATGTTTTTGTTAAGTTGGTAGTTCATGATCATATTTAGTATAAATATTTAGAATTTAGTATAATTTAGAATAAACCATGTAAAACTTGTTTTCCAACTGTTTCCCTTGTAAAATTATATATTTTCCAATAAAAAATCTAGTGATTTTTTTATTGCTAGATATTGGTAGGAATCATCTTTTTCTTATGCTTTAGGAAAAGTAAAAAGGAAAAATATGCTAACCACTGTGCCAAGATTACATATAAGAAAAATGTACTAGCTCTTAAAATATACTTCATGGTTCATTCAGCAGTTCTAAGTATTACTATCCCTGGAATTACTTTGTGGAATACAGCATTTCAGTAAAGTGAGGGCTTTGAAAATCAGAACCTAATTAACATTTTCCTAGCATATGTTTAGTTTACTCTGAGGATGGGGCCTAACCCATACAGCAGGGGGCCAATGGCTGGGAATGGTCAGTAATTCTCTAATCCTAAATTCTCACTTATTCTTCTTCAGCTTTGGAGTTTTCCATTTCTCTACATTTGGACTTGGGACTTAGCAGTGACCTGGTTTTTTTCCTCCCTCATTCTCTTTCCTTTCCTTTCCCTTCTCTTTTCTGTACTCCCCTCTGCTCATTTTACCTGCTTTGGAAAAAAAATATTTCATATCCAAATTTCGTATCATGTTTGACTGAATTATATTATTTAATGTTGCCAGTTATGTTAATTTAGTAGTGTTTTTATTTGTTTTAGAGTTTGAAGGTTAATTTTCCCTTGCCTTTCATATCCTGATTTCTTGGTGTTTTTTATTTTTAAAGTTAACTCTGTATTAAAACCCAAAAAGCAAATTCCAGTAAAGTACAGTTGTTTATTAGCATGTGAAGGGCTGAGAATTGTGAATTACTATATTTCTGAAAATGCATTTAGTACACGAAATCTGGTAAATTAAGTATATAGTGAATGATTTTAGAGGTACAAATAAGACTGTGGAAAGTAAAATTAGATTATTGATAAAGAGATCACTTTTGGCAAAATGCTTTTGTTGACAGTAGATGATATATTTATATGAGAGTGGTAGAGGAATATCATCAAGACTAAAGAAAGGTATTCAGATTTTTCAGTAGATGGCACTCTTACCTTTGAATCTTTCCAGGCTAGTAACATATTTCTTGAAATAGCAATGGAACTTTAAATGGGCTGGAGAGAAATAAAATCATTTGAATTTGATTCTAGATTTTCTTCTCCACTTAATATCAGAAGGATTTTTAAAGAGATTAAAACATACAAGCTTTTAAGAAACATTTTTTCACTTATAACATCTGAAGTTGGTGTATGTCTTATAGTGGATGATGTCTTACAACTTCAATTACCAACATTTCTTTTTAATGGTACAAAAAATATTACATCTTTGAATGGATGGATGACATGTGGATTTGATAAATGTGGTACTTTAGCTATTAAGTTCAGCATGTGGGATCATTGAAAAGGATCTGAACCATTCTCAGGTGATTTTAGAAAGGGGAAAATCTGATTTAAAATTTCGTTAAAAGCAGGTCCTCTTTTGTTGAAGTCATTAAAATTGAATCAGGTTTATGAGTTATTTTAAAGCTTTTAAAATAAATTTGTAAATAAATTCTGAAGTTCTTGTACATCCCAAAGATTTTCTTCACTACTAATAAATGGTAAATTGCACTTATTCCAAACAACTATTAGTTAATAAAGGTCTTTTTTGTATTACTGGAGAAATAAGTGCTTGGGAGACTTTTGGTTTATTGTGAGTCTTATTCCTAAGAAAGACTTGAATATGTATAACAGAAACTTGTTATGTTCTTTGTACAATATACTTCAAACTAATTATTTAATCCATTCTTATATAGTTGATAATTATCACCCATATTTAATGGCTTGTGGGGGAAAATAGTGCATTGAAGAGTTATTTTAAAGGAGAAAGGAAGTTGGTAGGCTCCTTCATTTGTTAAACTTGACATTTTATTTCTTGCACCTCAGTACTTCTAACTTTTACATCTGAAGAGCTCTTGTGTTTTGCTTCTGTCATCAAATGACAGTTGTATTTAAATGTAGGGAATTTACAGTTTATCATGGAATCACTGTTATTTAGCAAAGGAACTTTAAAATCACGCAGCACATTTACTCAAGAAAAAGTGGTTGTGTTCATTGGTACATGTCTGGGGGTGTTTTAGAGGTATGAGAAAGAGCTCCAACCTCTAAATTTATCATAGACCAAGTCAGAAGTAGATCCAAAGGGATAAAAGTAACGTGGCAACACTGCATGATATTTATACATTACTTCTAAGGGAATGAGAGAAGTGGGTTTGATTCTCATCAGTTTGAAATGGTCTATTCTGAGAATAACCTTTTAGAATTTGTTCAGTAATTTCAAATACTGTACTCTGATTTAAGATTACTGGCTCACAAAACATAGTTATTTTATGTATAGCCACTAAAAATACACTTGCAGTTTACAAGAGATCATCAGTTATCAGAAACATCATGATTTCAGAGATGTTAAAATGAAAAAGAATGTGCTTCCTAGAATCAGTGAGATGATAAAATACACTATATAATTTATTCTAAATATGATTAAATTTGCTTTTAAATGTTGGGTAGTGGTTATGTTTGTTACAGTAATTTGATACTAAACCTAAAAATGAGCAAAATATTTTCTTCTAGTATTTTCCCATTAAGTATATTTTTATATTGTACATGTAACATTTTGTATGTTTTCTATAACATTCTGTTCTATTCACTGTGTTTCTTCATGTACACAATTCAGGTTTTAACTATCTGAATTAGATTTTACATTACTAGCGTAAAACTACCATTTCATTACTTATTAAATTCCAAAAGCAGTGTTTTTATTTTACTTTTTTTTTTGTAGCAGCCAATTAGTAGGGTTATTTAAACAGTGATTTACAGGAAATAATTTTGAAATTTTTCACTTTATTTCTATAAAAATTGGGTTATGTTCTGTTTTTTCCCAAGGTACAAACTCTGAGCTGTCTAACCCTTCTGAAACAGAATCTGAGCGGAAAGATGAGCTGAGTGATTGGTCATTGGCAGGAGAAGATGATCGAGAGAGCCGGCATCAGCGTGACAGTAGGAGACGCCCAGGAGGAAGAGGCAGAAGTGTTTCGGGGGGTCGAGGTCGTGGTGGACCGCGTGGTGGCAAATCCTCCATCAGTTCTGGTAGTCTTTTATATACTATGTCAGCATCGCTTCTTTGTAAACGTTGTAACTTTATACAAGTTAATTCATTTCTCAGGGCCACCGGGTTTTGGAAGTTTCTCTTGCCACTCACTGAGGAAAATAGTAGAACAAATAGCAATATGAGGAAAAAGCAGTGTTTTTTCAGTGAAGAGTGTTTTATCAGTGAAGGTTTAGCTAGAATATTTGGGTCAGAGAAACTTTAGTGGCTTGTTCTGTTTCTAGTGGTTAGATGTTTATCCCTTCGATTCTGGGGGAGGGGGACTTATGAAATTAGAATTCTTTTTTTCCCCTCTAGAGTTTTTGAGTGGTATGTATTTGTTGGCCAGACAGACACAGAGAATTCTCATACTCAGCAAGACCTAAATGTTACCTTTTATGCTTAATATCGAAAAGTAACTGAAAAAAACATTCTTTGCTACCATATGTACTGTACTATTTTGGAAATCTGGAAAAATTGTCAAATCAATTTAAATTTTTAAAAATTGAGGAATTGAGTTGTAAAGAGAAGTGTTTAGAAGACTGAGATTTGAGGTGTGCAAGCACTTTTTACTAATGTTTTCTCTGAAAAATTTAAATGCTATAACTTAAGTGGAGCTGTAAAGTTGCCAGAATGTTCTTGCTTAGTATAATGGGCTGGGGAAAAATTACCAGGGATATAACCATAACATATTATTTTTAAAACTTGAAGAAAACTTGAAGAAAACACTCTTAGTGTTATACTATGAGTTATGAAAGTTTATATAGTATTTTAAATGCTATAGATCATATGTACATGTAATTAAATATATACCAAACATGCTTACAAATGAGAAAAAACTGAAACAAATCCCAAAATTTAAGGGCTTTTAGAAGGCACTCTCTAGTTCTAGTGAAATCTTTGCTCCCTAAAATTTAGTTTATAGGTGTTCAGGTACCATATTTTTCAGAACATAAGATGCACCTAGGTTTTAGAGGAAAAAAATAAGAAAAAAATTTTGAAGCAAAAAATGTGGTAAAATATTTAATAACATAATATTTCACCAATGTAAATATAAACAACAGCAGCATTAACAATTATTTTGGGGGGGTCTTATAGTCCGAAAAATACGGTAGTTTTTATGTTTTTTAGTACATGGTTCACTATTACCAAGGCTTATAAAATTTTAGAATGCTGACTTACAGAATAAATGTACTTTACTTAGTATTTATGATTAATGGATAAACTTAGTGTCTTTTACAAAGATGCTAGCTTGCTAGCTGTTACCAAAGGAAACTTAGAAAGGAAAAGTCGTGATTAGGTGATTTCTTCTATAATTTGATTGGTGGAGGCAATAAATGCACATAGGTAAGATGGGTATTTTTTTCTTACAAATTATATCTTAAAACTTTTCCTTTCCTACCCTCACCCCCTGCCTTACCCCACCTTTCACTCTTTGTTTCTGGAGATGGGAGTACTAGTCCACATTCATTTCCACATTTTGCTATCACCAGTTAAAATGTCAACTTTTTTAGTTTGCTTTGTGTGTGTGTGTGTGTGTGACTTGTTTGGGTTGCTTCAGTATGTAGTAACATTGCTGGTAAGTTGTGGAGTGCAGGTGTTGAGTATAATTTGGGAGTAGTCCATTAATATTAGCAGAAAGAAGCAGCAGTCACCTTCAACTCAGTAAAGGGGACAGAAATCTCTTTCTTAGAATTCATAGTAGCTTAATGTTTATTTCTTTTTCTTTTTCTTTTTGTATACTAAGCAGGATTAGCTAGGATGTGAATGTCAGAAATAGCATGTAAAACACTGTTTTGTAACATTTTCAAAACAAGTCAAAGGGAAATGGTAGGAAGTTGAGGTGTCTGCTCATCATCTGCTTTAATTTTTCATTGCCATTTAAAGTTTTTTCATATTTGTTATTTTCCAGGTAAAATAGTGATACAGAAAACATATGAAGACAATGTATTTTTATTGGGGGAAAATTGAAGTTTCTTTATCATTAATTAATATAGCTCAGTATAGATCAAAACATTCCTAATAACTGCAGCTCTCTTAAATGAATATTTCTTGCCTCTGACATGCATATAGTGCTCAAAGATCCAGACAGCAATCCATACAGCTTACTTGATAATACAGAATCAGATCAGACTGCAGACACTGATGCCAGCGAATCTCATCACAGTACTAACCGTCGTAGGCGGTCTCGTAGACGAAGGACTGATGAAGATGCTGTTCTGATGGATGGAATGACTGAATCTGATACAGCTTCAGTTAATGAAAATGGGCTAGGTATGTAAGCATTTGGGGAAAAATACATATTGTATGATACTGTTAATGTATGATGCTTTTTAAAACAAACGTGCAAGTTGAAAATTGAATTTTTTAAGCAGCTTTGTGTCTATCTTAAATGTCTAGTTCTCAGATTTGTACAGCCAGATTATTTGAAACTGAGAGGGTTTATTAAAGTGCCCTTAGATGCTATTAAATAATACAAATATACAGACTGTGAGGCACTTTTAATACTTTTATTGTTCCTAAACCAAAATTGGGCTTTCAGCTTACCTCCTAAAAGTTTATTATAAATGACACTAGTGAAAGTATGTATATTGAGTAGGCATTAATTTCCAAAGGGCTTCACTGTCATTTACTTTGGTACAAACTAGACTGTATTGGAGAGGAAAACTTTATTCCTGAATGATGGTAATTAAGTCTGAGGTTTGTAAGACTTAAAACCCTCTTAATTTTCAGATGATAATTCCATTTTGTAAATCTTTTTGGAATGCTTAAAACTACAGAAATACTTGTCCTGTCAGTAACTTAATGTTGTTTTGTCTTCCCTATTTACCTGAAAGGTTTTCTTTCTCTTTCCTTAAGTCTTTGAAGGAACAAAGTTTTTTTTGTTTTGTTTCATTTTTGTCAGAATAGTTCATGGTAAATTTTGCAATTACAGATGATAGTGAAAAAAAACCCCAGCGACGCAATCGTAGCCGCAGGCGTCGTTTCAGGGGTCAGGCAGAAGATAGACAGCCAGGTAACTTGAGTGGACCTGTTGACAACACCAGGTCATAAGCATGAAAAAACATGTCATGTGTCTGCTTTCTAAATATATACTTGTACACATGTGTGCATATACATTCAAAATGTGCATTGCATAAATTGTTTACTCAACTAATAAGACTACTACTCTAAAGAAAATGCATTCTTCCTTGACACCATAAATGTTTAGTAACCTGTCTAATTGAACTAATGTTATGTGTCAATTTTTACATGGAAATACTGTTGAGAAGACTATTATTTTGTCCATTTGGCAGCTTCTTCACACTTGAGAGGGGCCTGCCATCCCAGGGATTGTATTGTAGATTGTGATTGAGGTTGATTGGCAAAACTGGGCAGCTTTTGCATGGTGCCTGCTTACTCTGTCTGCATTCAGCACCTCATTTTTGTGGGAATTGTAGTAATAGCCCACAGTTCTTATTTAAAAAATACAAATAAATACTTGAGAGTGTCTTTTTCCTAATAAGAGGAATGCATGTTATGTTTCTGTTTATTGTAGTGTGATGCTTTTCCCCTACACCTACTAACTATTCAAATTAATAGTACTTACTTGGCTTTAGAATGTTAATTTTTAAGTAGTCATATTTTTAGTAACTTTAAAGAAACCTGTTTACTGTGTCTATATTATTTTGAACAAATTCCATTTCTTGTGTACAGAGAATCACATGTATATTCACAGTGAAGAAATTGTGTGCACCAGAAATAAACCCCTTTAAAACTAATCAATTTTTGCATTCTTTCCAGAGCAAGTTCTTTTACGTGTTTTTCCCAAATAAAGAATGTAAATTCCAGTATCTTTAGTATTTTAAGTTTAGTGGTTCTAGAAACATAGGAAAACCAGTTAAGGGGATTAGTTCCCATTCTTGAAAAAAAAGTTCATCTTTTAAAGATATAAATTTAAAAGGAAATAAATGTTGTCAAGAATAGAAAGTTTCCATAAAATATTTATTGTTTTCCCCCCTGTTCTTTTTCCCCTCTCTCTTTAGTGCTAGAAATACATATTTTGATCAATAGATTATGTTTTGTTTTTTTGAAGCTGGCATTGCAGTGAATACCTGGCCATATTTTATAAATAAAAAAGTTCAAGCTATCAGTATGTGCATAAATAGGACAAATTACAGCGTAATTTATTAACTAGATGTGTGTTGGTTATTACTAAGTCAGTGAACATAAGAATAACATTGTTCAGGAAGAGGCAGAAATTTCTGCATGGTATTAATGGAAACTTGAGTGACTTGGACTTTTCAATAACTTGTGTTCCATATTGAATTTATTCCTATTTTACTCTCTTTGGAAAAACTACTTTCCATGTTTAGAACTCCTTGCCTTCCCTGGCCTGCTCTCTCTTCCTCACCCTCCCCCCCCAAAAAAAAAAAAAAAAAAAGAACCAAACCCAAACCCCAAGATAAGATAGGTGGAACAAGGACACACCATTTTCTCATTGCCCCTGGCAGTGTACTCTTCTAGGAAGGCAGGCTCCATCTGAAAAAGATCAACATTCTTTTAAGTACACAGTTATTTAGTTTGTTTTCATTTGCTTAAAATTTCTTGTTGTCCTTAATGAAATTAAATAGTGAGTATTCTTTACTTAGAATGTGACTATATACTTGTCCAACTGATTAACTTGGACCCTTTAGAGCAGGGTGTCAAACTCATTTTCACCAGGGGTCACATCAGCTTCCTGGTTGCCTTCAAAGGCCCGAAACAATTTTAGGACTGTATAAATGTAACTACTCCTTAACTGTTAAGGAGTTGAAATTACATTTGGCCCTTTGAAGGCAACCAGGAAGCTGATGTGACTCCCTGGTGAAAATGAGTTTGACATCCTTGCCTTAGAGGAAATTCTAGTTGCACAAGTTGCCTGTATTTTTCTAGATACTGTATTTATTAATTTGTATAGAACTTTTAAGTAACTTATAAAGACTGGCTATAAGTTACAAAACAAAATAGGTTTTTTTTTTTACCAGCCGATTTTGTTTTTGCTTTTACGTCCCCTTGGGGGAAGGTGAGAAACACTAGTAAATTTTTACTTTTTCAGCTAAGTGCCTCTTAACTTAATTGATAAACTTATTAAAGCATATTATTCTATATCTGTACATAGTGGATGAAGGATTATAAGAATTGTCAGGGTTTCCAAGTAGAAGAATTCTTCCAGGTATCACCAAGGGCTGAATTATGGAAACCAAATGGATTTGTTAAGGTGCTCCCCAAACTAGAGTCATTCCTAGAATGGTTTTGCCACCATGTATATAGACATAAGAGTGAAGTGGATTTGATGGTTTCCTCTTCCCCCATTTTGGAAACCATTAGTAAATAGATTTATAATTCATTAACAGTGAATTTAAATGATTTTAAAAAGCTCCAGAATGAGCACACTGAGTTCAATTATTTGAAAGAAAAGAGGCAGTTGTAGGACAGGAACATCTTTAATGGTGTTTCTAATAAATGATAGATATTAGTTGTTTACTCAAGATTTTAAAAATTCCTTTAATAGTTACAGACAGTTCCTTGGGGCTTATAACATTTATAACAGAAAGCTTTATTTTCATATAATTTGAACTTGATGGACCAGTTCTCCCTGTATCTAGTGACTTTAATTTGAAATTTACTTGAATTTTCATTCTTTAATATAATTAACCTGCTCCTGTAATTTAAAATATACTGTATTTCACATAGAGATTTTTCTTCACCAGTTTCTCATAGTTAATTCTTTCAAAGAAAGAGGATGATTATTTTGATTTCTTCAAATAAGTGAATGCTAGGTTGCAAGTCCTCGGGAGAGAAAGGATTGAGGTGTAAAGTGGGGCCAGCCCAGAGTACCTGTAGACAAGAGGTCAGTTGTGGCACTGGGTTGGCAGTAGGATGTTAGTTTGGGTTAATCTATTTGCTATTATCAGTATTGCTATGTACCCACTTACTTGCAAACACACATACACCTCAGTCAGTCCCTTAAAAGATTAGAAGATTGGTAAAGTGGGGGAGAAGTGGTTAGTAAATTCATGGTGTCCGTTTCTTTTGTGATGATCATCCACATTTTTAGGCTGGTTTTCTATCATCTTTAGTTTGCTTGTAGTTTTTTTATTGATGATCACTCCAGACTGGTTGCTAGTGTGGATTGTTTAAAAGGAACCATAAAATACCACACTTTGATTTCTTACTAGTGTAATTTTTTAAAAATAATAAAATAACAACTACTAATATTTGAGTTATCTTTTTATATCTTTGATAAATTTTCAAATTGAAGTAGATCACACCATGATTTACACCAGATTTACCCCATTTCACCTCCACCCCTCCTCCCACCGCCACATCACTGATAATTGCATGGGCTTAAAATGCTGCATTTTCTGTGCTTGGTTGTGGGTGTCTATATCAAACTTACACCACAGCCGCAGACTCACCCAGAAGGAAATAGCTGGATTCCTTTGAAAGAGGACTTCATTCTAGTCTTCCTCAATCTCCAGCTTAAAATTTTCTATTATCACTTAATCACAGGCACACTTTTCAAGCTTTGTTTTTGGTCGGAGGTGGTACCCAGCTTAAGACAATTTTGAAATTGGGTAATCCACCATGAGTTTATTTTAAAAGTAAAATTACTCTATCCATAAATAAACTTTAGAAATAGTTTTTCAACACCTGTAATTTTTTTCTCATCTTCAACAGTCACAGTTGCAGATTATATTTCTAGAGCTGAGTCTCAGAGCAGACAAAGAAACCTCCCAAGGGAAACTTTGGCTAAAAACAAGAAAGAAATGGTAAGGAGAATTTAACCTGTAGGTTTTTTGTTTTTTTTTTTGGTATGGTTTAGCTTTATTTTACTTAACTTTCTGTATGATCACTTGTTTCCCCAAATAGATGAAAAATATTTTAAAGACTGCTCTTGAGTTTGTTGTTGGCCCCACAAAACTGAAGATAGATAGCATGCATGCTTGAGCCTGAAATACTTTCTCTGTTAGAACTCCAAATAGCATCTGTAAAGTTCAGCCTGCCCAAAGATACTGGGCGTAGAGACTGTTGCTTAATTTGGGGAGCAATAGGCTGTATACCTCTTTTCAGTGACAGTTATAGCCCTTTGATTCTGTTAAATGTTTTAAAGGATTTGCTATGTAAATGTTTTTTAAAAAGGTGAGTAAAGTAGGTGATAATTTGCTTTACTTAGGGTATTATTTTATATCTTTACATGGTAAGCTTTCCACTACTTTAAATAAAAGTAGGTACAAGTTTTCAGTAAACAAGTGCATATTCTTCCTGTTGTTTAGGCACTGCTAGGTACTAGAAACAAAGAGCTGAACCACCCAGAGAGGTGGAGTACATTGGTATTTGTTTTGACCTTTGAGAACATTTGAATTATTTGACCCTTTGTGGTATGTAAAACTAAAATTATGTATTAGGTAATTAATGATTATGTAGCTGTTTTCCTCCTCAGCTATAGATTTCATTTATAAAGAAGTTGAAAAAGTTGTCTCCCTTTGGCAGGCAAAAGATGTGATTGAAGAGCATGGTCCTTCAGAAAAGGCAATAAATGGCCCAACTAGTGCTTCTGGCGATGAAATTTCTAAGCTACAGCGTACTCCAGGAGAAGAAAAGATTAATACCTTAAAAGAAGAAAACACTCAAGAAGCAGCAGTCCTGAATGGTGTTTCATAAACTGAAGAAGTTCCTAGTTTACAGTTCTTTTACATTACATTTTACAATAGTGCTTGTACAAGCTTGCCAAAGATAGAATACGGATCGCCAGTCTTTACATCGCACTTTCAGTTCCTCCATTTGGAATTCAGAAAGGGGAGGGATCCTGAAGAAATCATATGTTAAACATACTTTGACACCTACTGTGTTATAAAATATATCATCAGATGTGCCTTGAGAATAGTATATGTAACATTAAAAAAAGTTGCTGGCTATAGGAAATGTTATTTTGTTTTCAAAATATGGCAGAGATTGGGGGGAGGTGGGCGGGGTGGGATCCCTAACGTAATATTCTTTATGAAAGCATTAGCTGCTTTTGTTACATTTTTAATAATATGCAACCACTTCTCCACCTGAGGAAAACTAGAGTGAAATGCAGTCTAAAATATTTTGCACTGAATTGTAATTTCTTCATTAGTTTAGTCTGGAAACTGGTCTGTTTTAATGTTTTTAAAATGCTGTATGTAGAGGAAAATCTGCAGACCACTGGAATACATTCGTTAAACTTTCATCTGCAGGGACACTGGGTGATATTGGCAGTGACTGTTCTATATTGAGGCTTTGTTTGGTTTATTTATTAAAGTGTACAGTATTTAAAAATCAAACATAGCTTTAGTTAAAACACTAAGCTGAATTAGTCGTGTCCATTCAGACATAACCTGAACTACTGAAAAAGATCAATTTCCAGAAGGTTTATTCTGTATAAACTACATGTTAGTCTTCAGTAGAGTATCTTTTCCTTTTCTTACTTTTTTTTTCTTCTTTTTTTTCCTTTTCTTTTTTTTTTCTTTTTTTTTGATTTTGGTTGTTTGATGTGCAATATGTTTTTGTATGCAGGTAGTAAATAAACTTTGATCTTCCATTTGCTGATTTTTAACTTTCTACTTTTTATACCCACTGTTGCAAAGTAGTTGGAGCTACTTATAGGTCTAGAATAGTATCCCAATTGCTTTTTTAAAAGCATTTATATTTGCCGATAAATAATATCAAACTATTAGTTGGTCAGTTAATTATTTTGTAATGAACCCTCTGAAATCTTAGCTTTTAAAGTTTAGTCTGTTAGAGTAGCTAGGGCATTAATCATACACTTGCTATTAAGAAGTCTTTATAGGAAAAATCCACTTAAGGTCAACTTTGGAAGGCAGTAGGGTAAAATCTAGAATTTTACTTTTGCCTTTGATTCTTTATTAAAAACTATTTTTATAAAGTTTGAGCAATTTTGAAATATGGAAATTGATTCTCAAAATAATTTTGAAGGTTCTTATACTAATGATTATATTTTTTATCTATATATTTTAGCCAGATGGCTTAATTTTAGGAAGGTAAAGACTTTCACACAAAGTGTGTTATAAAAAGTGCAATACAATAATTTATGCAGTTAAGAGTGAGGTCATATAAAATTGTGGATTTATGGGTAAGTTTAGCTCCACAGTATCATACAGAGAGCACTGATCAAGAAAACCCTTTTTGTCATTTGGTGTCTTAATGTGTTTTTATGTGCATAATTTGTGTTAATTTTTTATGTGCATAAAAATGGTAAGTGGTTTTAGTTAATTGGTAATGATTGAAAGAGAAAACAGGCTAGAAATGTAATACTTGCTAGGTCAGGGTACATAATCTTAGCCCTCAGATTTGTTGAGGTTAAGATGTGATGTTATTAAGTGCTTTTTTTATAAAAACCTTGTTAACAGAATTTTTAAGGAAGGTATGTTGTAAATAGTTTTCGCACATTGAATAGAACATGTGAAGTTATCTCATATCTCGATTTTTAAAAGTTAGTACCAAAATTATTTTTATCCATCAAAGTTAGAAAGTAAAATTGGACGTCGTCTTAGTTCTTTCTGTTCAATAACAGGTTTGCAGTTAACTGAGTTATGAGATGACTGTTCACTGATCCCCAATTTGGTGAATATGATATAAGGGAAAAAAGATTTTTCATTTTCTTCCTTGTAGATCACTAAAATCTTTCTCCCATAAAAATTGTTATCAGTGGGAAAGAAAAACAAGGTTACCTTAAAGAGTAGGTATAGTCCAAGCATTTCTTCAGGCTAGGATAGTAAACGTATTTTAGGAAATAAGTATTAGATTTCATTATTTACAAATGACTAAACCCACTGGTTTTTTCTTCAGAAATGTGTATTGAAGAATTGTGATAGGCTTTTTTGTGGCTAAATAGTACATGCTCAGATTCAGAAGTAAAAAGCACTTCCCAAAGATAACCGTTGTTGGTTCAGTTAGCTTTCCAAACTTATTTTGAGAGGGGTGCATCTTTTTTTGGTTACTACACTAATTAGATGTTGGTTGCTATAGGGGAATATGCCTGTGCACATTAAACAGACATACTCAGGTGAAAAGGTCTATTCTAAAGGTCTTACGCAGCTCAAACTATTAACGTTAGCACACATGAAATCTGAACTAAATCATGAAGTGGAGCTGAGATTATGTGGGGGCAAAATGAGCTTTTCCTAAAACCTTGGAAAGCCTAGGATTATTGGGTTTGGCATCACTTTTATAAGCCTTCAGTGGGAGTAAAACTGCAAAATGGTGTGAGCTCTCTTGTCAGGTCAGTCACCATTGGTAAACTTAATAGTTCAGATACACAGAAATCTTAAGTTAGGTATTTGAAGTTGAGAAGTAGCACATCAAACTGGTGACTATGAAAACTTACCTGAGGTATTGCTAAGGATGAGGCTGTGGGAGGTTGCTTAAATGTAATATTTTAAAAAGTACAGATATATGTAGGCAAGCCAAAACAGTAAGCCAATGAGGAGGTGGCAAAAGTAGCTGGTGTTTTACTACTGTATTATGGATTTCTATTCAACTCAGTCATTCTTTTTTGTCTGGGATCCATCACCTTTATGTCAGTAGTATTTTTGTAGCTACGAGTCTAGTGTTTAACCTAAGAAGGGTCTCTTGCAAAGTTGTTATGCTAACTGAATGTTGCAGTTAGATTGGGAAATGATAGCATTTGTGTCCTCTGCAAATAGATTTACTTTTTTTTTTTTTTTTGAGGTTGAAACCAACTAGATAACTATTCTCATAGACTGTGCCTACAATAAACTGAGCTTAAGTCTAAGGACAGATGGTTGGAAAATTGGCTGTAATGCAGAGTTAAGTCCTATGTCAGATGCTGGGTGGTTATTGGAAATGAGATTAAAGGGAAGTTGGATTTGAACTGGATTTATGAGTTTGGCAAAATCACTAAAGGCCAAAAAAGGGATGTGGTAAAGTTCCATTCAAACCTCCTATCTTTGCTATTATGGTTTGGACCTATTCTGTTCTATAAGGTTAACTGGTATAACATACATTTGCTGATACTTAAAAGATTTTAGTTCGTTCTTAGGGTGCTTTCTTGAATGCATAGTAGTCACTTACAATCCATGATTAACTTAAGACAGCCTTTGGGTATTCAGGAACTGTTGCAATAAATCAATCATTTCAGTTTGGTATAAACCTGGCACGTGGTGGTAATTTGAAGCTGAATTCAACTGCAGGTTAAAAATAAGTCAGTTAGGTTGACCCATAGGAAATCGCTACTAGTTGACCATTTCTAACCCACAAAAGAGCAGTTTCCTATGGCCCGCCTAACACATTTTTATTTTACTCTAGAAATCCAAGTGTCTAATCAAGAAAACTCCAAATTGGTGGATGAGTAAGGTATATATATAAGGAAAAATATATTTATCTGTATTACTATTTCAAGTACTAAATACAGTGCATAATAATGCTACTGGATAAACTATAATGCAGCTTTTTCTAAGAGGAATTCCATCAGTCCATTTGCTTACCTATTTGAGAAGATGTATGTGTAAGTACAGGACAGGAGTTACTACTATCTTTTTCTATATTTCATTTAACTAGAGAGGGCTGCACTAGCTAGCCCTTTTCAATATTAACATAACTTGAGTCTTTTCTTATGTGGGACCCTGGGTTCCACTTAACAATATTCCCAAATACTTTCAAGAAGGAGTATGCTGAATTAAAATGGTGTTTTATGTGTGTCCACCCTAGATATTTTCATTTATGTTATACGCAATCTAAAGGGTATCAAAAGCAAGGGCTAAATTATTTTTCACTGACATCAGTCTTGATGCCCCAATAATGTGTTTTAGGGATTCAATGTGTGTCTTTTGGGGGGGGGCAGGGATGAAATTACAGGCCTATTTTTGGAATGTGTATATCCTTTTTACTCTTGTCAAATCTACTAATTTTCTAGTTTAGAGATTTAATTACAGAAATTTTCCTATAGTTTTTCTGGTTAGATCATTTTAAACTCAATTGTTGCCTAAAGCTTATATATACACATTAGCCTTGTTGAGCTCTATTTGTCAACTTGTGTTTAGGTTAAGAAAAATGTCACAGATTATATTTGAAATTCCATTAATTGACACCACTAACAAGTGTACATGTTCCAGATTATACCTTAACACTGGACTATGTTTTCATGCGGTCAGGACTAATAGGAAACACAGGATAAAAGCTCTATTCATATGTCCCATTACTAAGGCAACAGTTGGCTCCAAGCAGAATCACAGCACTCTGAACAAGTGTCATCAACACAAAGCAGACTGTAGGTTATTTGAGTTTAGTGGTACTCAAAAGGTTACCCTCAATTCAGCATTTTTTATGTAACAAAAAAAGTATTTTAAACAATTTTTTTTACTTCAGATTTACAAATGTTTTTGTTTTGTTCTTTGAAATTTTTGAGCCAATTTCTAAATGTTCATTGGCATTAATGTGTTTTGGATGAAGGGTTATTTATACTTAATAAAACATGACCCCCTCCCTCCCCCCCCTGCACACTTTTAAATTGCAAAACAACTTTTATAGGTCATTAGCAGCAAGATGCCTTATAAAAAACTTAGTGTTCTAGCCTAAAGTGTTAAGACTAGACTCTTTAAATGAGGCATTCTGCTTAATTTCTTAAACATTTCTGATGCAAGATTTTAAGTAGGGCATAAGTTTTCAGTGTGCTAAACAAAGAATCACTTTTTAGTGTAGCATCTTCACATTTAGGGTTTTTGCCCTTGTATTAAGATGCCAGTTACCTCATTTTTTCCAGTTCTCAGTGGTTTTGCTTTTTGCTGCCTTTAACCCTTGATTCTGTTATAATTTAGAGCAGAGCAAAGTAAGGATAGCAGGAGAAACCATAATTTTTTGGGATGGCTAAAAAGTCCATTACTCTCCCCCCCCCCCAAATAAATGACGGATTTTTCACTTTCACCACTAATTTTATTGATTGGAGTATTTTGAGTATGTCGCCTGTCTCCTGCTATTGGCTTCTAGTGGGTAGAGGCCAGAGGTGCTGCTAAACATCTTCTAATGGGTAACACAGTGTGCAGTAAAGAATTATTTGGCCAAAAGGTCAGTAGTGCAAGAAATTTTAACAAACCACTTTGACATGTTTGTCAGTCACAGCACTTTCTCCATAATCTTTTTTTCCAGTTCAGTTGCATTTTACCTTTTTTGAAGTAATAGCATTATTTTACCTTTTTTGAAGTAATAAAGTATTACACAACAAAAGTGTTATGTATCTTCTTCCATCTTCAGTATTAAAATGGCTGCACAAAAATTCAGTTTTGCTAAGTCCTTTTAAATGCACACTGATAAACAGCTGTCATAACCTAACAAAATTGTTTCAAATCAAAAAGACAACTCAGCACTAGAGCCACTGTACAGAAATAGCTCTTTGTACTGAAATGGCTCCTTTCTGTACAGAAAAGCCATAACGGCCTCGCAGGCCAACCCAATACAACCAAGCTTCTAGAGTCAGAATATATAGGTATGGGCTACATATACTTTCATGTAAGTTCTTAACTATTTGTTGAGTAGTTTGAGTCTTCTGAAATAATGACTTTTTTTTTCTGTCTAAATATTCCAAAGGTATACCCATCGTTTGGAAAATATTTGAAGGCAAGAGACTTAAAATTCTAAAAGTGGAAAAAGATTTAAATTTGAGGTCCACTCAGAGCCCACTTTCATCACCAATTTTTATAAAGTGCAGTGTAGGGCTTATCTAATGTTACCACAGGCCCAGTGGCAAAAAGGAAGGAGCTAGACAAAATTCTGACATGCCAGATCTACTTAAGACTACGAGTGGGAACTCCCTCAAAATAGGACTAACACGTATGTTACCTCAAATACTTGCTCTGGCTTTTTGTTTCTCTCCTGTAAAATGTGGAGGGATTCTCAATTTTCAAGATGGCCATTAATTTTCCTCTTAAGTGAAGAAGAACCCTAAGCATATAGATAGCCTGCTTAATGCTGCCTGATTACTGCGGAAGTTTGACTTGAAACCTCCATCTTCCTATTCCCTTCATGTGTTCAACCTTACCTTTCTCCCCTTAAAAAAAGTCTCCATCTGTAAGCAGCGTATGACAAAGAAAAAGGTCCCAAGCTAGATGTGTAATGAAAAGTACCAGACTGCACCCTGTACCACGAACATCTCGGTTATCAGGTTTGTGAAAGGTACTACACACTGCAGTAGTTAACAGTCTGGTATTGGGTTTGAGAAAGATCAGTGCTCTCACCTAGCATGTTACTTGGGGCAAGTTACTTTAACTTCATTAAACTTCATTTACATTAGGTCTCCTAGATTGTTTCAGTATTACAGTGTTGATGAAATGCCACAGGAATTAATTTGTTTATATCAGTAGCCCATGGTAGAACTGGTTTTGCTGTGCATCATTTCATTTAAAGTCATGGAACCTATAGATATGAGTGTACTGTTACTGTACAGAGAAAATGGGTAGAATAATGCTGGTACGTTCGTTGTAAGTAGTTAACATTTCACATCAGGTATTTTGTAAGAAAATACCATTAACAAGATACAGATGGTATTTCCATCATTCATCCACTATGATCTAGAACTGTCATATAGATGACTTTTTTCCCCCAAGAGAAATGGTAGGTTTGCTTAATAGCCTTCATTATTAAAATAGGGATTCTTCTCCTTGATAAAGGTACAGAGAGGAAACAAAGCTGATTACTGGAAAGGAAAATTGGGCACTGTTGTGCTCCTTAGTATTAAAGTGGTCTCCATAATGGTTTTCATGTCTCTACATAGGTTTGCTATTTACATTAACTCAAAAGATACACCTACTACACTATTGGCATATTACCTCACTTTGTCTTTGAAAAAGTTCTGATACCATTTTTCTTCCTTTAAAGCTCTTGGTCAAAGAAACATTTTTTTTACTAGTCCAAAGGATGGAAATAAAAGGTTAGCAAGCCGATAAAGCTGCTCTTCATTATCAGCAGGTCCCCTATTGGCAAATTCACCTCGCTAAAATTTATATGTAACCCCAAAATCACCACTTGAGGTGCTTTCCCAGTCTTGTGGACATGTAGAGTGGTGAAAAATTTGAATTGCCTGATGTTCAAAAAGTGATGCTCTGCCTTATTTCAGTTGTTACACTGGAAACAAATACCCTTTCCATGATCCATTTAGTGCCAAGTGTTTTCAGTTTTTGTGCTTATTGATTTCCCTGTTTAAAATGACCCCCAGGCTCAGAGAAGTGCCTAATATTCAAACACAAGAAGGCTGCGAAGTGCGGCCATGAGCTGGTAGTGGCTGTGAATTTAATGTTAAAGAAGCAGTAATACATCAAGTAACGTGTCTTAAAACCTCACATAAAACAAGGTTATACATTGACAGTTGACAAAAATGTGACCAGAGGCTCACAGGAACCTGTAATTCCCCTAGGAAAAGTGGCACACTAGTTGCTAAATCAAGTGTTCTCAGTAACTTTATAAAACTTCTGAACTACTTGGAATAATAAAAATGAACTGGGCTTTTATACCCCTTTCCCCTGGAAATAACTAGAAAGATGTCTCCTACACAAAAGCCATGGCTGCCTAATCATAACAAATAGACTTGATCACATTTTAAACAAGGAAACAAGCTGGAAAATAAAAGAGGTATACTCCAACTCTGAAATGCCCCTACACACATTCAAACACTAAATATGGTTAGAAATGTTACCCTGACCATATGTGTTCTCCATAAATAACTTTTAAGATGATTTAACAAAGTTTAGATGGTAGGAAGCAGATCTTTTTAAAGATTTTTTTTTAGAGAGGGGAGGAGAAATACTGTGTGGTTGCTTCATGCGCCCCCTGCTGGGAACCTGGCCCACACCCTAGGCATACTAGGAATCAAACCTGTGACCCTTTGATTTGAAGTCCAGTGCTCAAACCACTGAGCCGACCATGTTATCTTAAAGCTAAACATAGTTAAGTACGCTGGAGAAGACCACAAACTAGCCTGGGTGTTTTATACAAGTCTTTTAGTTCAGATCTTTATGTTAGATCAAAGGTAAGCTATTTGTTCTCATGTCATTAACGTATTTTGCTATGAATAATGCTGTTTTTCTTCCCAAATTTTTGAGGAGAAAAAAGGGTATGCATTATATATGATTACCTACCACAAGTATAATGGTCATAAATAATTCCATGTATAATGTGCACAAGAATGTGGGTACATGCTATACACAGCAAATTCGGTACATTCATCATTGTATAAATTGAGTCTAAGCTGAATATTTTGATAACTGAGGGCATGTTTCAGTTTAGCTAATTGTGTTTAACCCTGGTCATAACAAATGCAAAACTTTTGATTTATGTAAAAAAATTTATAAATGTTTTTTGAAGGGGCTAGCTGAATACAATGTAAATATTTTTCTCAATTAAAAAGACATACTCTCATCTTTTTTAATCAGGTTTTTAATGTATGAAATCTGAATTCTGTCAGTGACATATATACCTACATGAATTTTTTTAGGTCAAATTGTGGCTACGTTAATTTTTTAATTCACAGCTCCAAGCCCCTGAGCCAGCTCTCTGTACCTTGACAACCTTTCTTCCCAACGAGATGAGTCCCCTATAACCTCTGCTAATTCCATCATGCTATTTATCGTGTGTTTTAATTACCAGTTTATCAGTCTCCCATTAGATTGGGGTTCCTTGAGAGCAGGGACCTTCATGTTCACTTTGCCTTGAGTAGTAAATCATTTGCTAAATGAGTAATGAAAAACATTTCTATTCAAATGGTATGTATTTACCCATAATTACTGAGCAGTAATCTATAACTGTTCTATAATCTCACAAAATTCTCAAATTTAAACAAATTGATACAAGGGTTTGACTTTGTGCTAAATCATTTCTAAAATTTTTGGCTTTGGGACATTTTATAAAAAGCTGGTACTTGTACACATAACTGATAAGAACTTTAAAATTCATCATACATTTACTTCACTTTTTGGCTTGACCTTCCAGTAAATCTTTAGCTTCATTGATTTTGGCTGCTATATAAGGAGATCCTCCTACAGGAAGAAAGAAAACGGGAATGTTATTAATTGGATTGTCAATTTCTGCTTGGTGAACAGCTGTTTTTGTTTCAAGCACCTCTATATTTATCTAAGAGGTGGAATTAGCAGAAATGGTATTCCAATTTTTAAAAATAATTATGACACTACTGTATAACCACATATATGATCATGTATTTGACCAATGGGAAATGAGATTTCCACAAAAATGGCAGCTTTTAAAAAGCTTAAACTAATGATGATAGGGACAGGATTTCATAAATCCATAGACTTACATAACTTTGAAATAATGCAAGTTACCTACTCATGATGATTATGAGTCATAAATGAATATATTTGTGTTATTTTTAAAACCTTGATATTCTCAGAGGCTTCTGAGCTTTGTTGGAAAGGCCACAATTGGCTTTTGATCCTTTTTCTGCCCTTCATAGTTTTTCTTTTCCCGTTACTGTGCCTTTACACAATCATGTACAGCTGGTTTCCCACTAATCTGCTGGCACATTGACTCTCAAAACGTGGTCTGTAGCCCAGCAAGCATCAGTACCAGGAAGAAAACTGGTAGAAACACAAATGTATGCACACCCCCTAGACTTGAGTCAGAAGCCCTCCAGTTAATACAAGCTAGATTTCATAAAAGAGGCTATGTAGTCACATACCCCCAAATTAAAGCCTTGTTAAAACAATTGATGAAGGTGCTCTCCCATAAAAAGATCTGAGCACTGGAACATGGATTTTGTGGTTTGTATTTTGGTATTCCAAGGAATTATTTGCTTTCAACATAGCTAAGGCTGCTTACAGATGTATCAGAAGCTAATAAGTGAATTCTGTAAGTGTTTAACTTTGTAACCTCAAGTTTAAAAGTCAAAATGAACAAAAATTACTTTTTTTTTGTTTCGTTAACTAAAATTGAACATTCTTTTGAGAACAGAGTCCAAACCCAAGTCTCCCAAAACAGTAGGATCGGCAGTATGACTGTTAGAAATCAATTTTTTAAAGGTCAAATGTTATGACATTTGCATATCTTGTTATGACAATTACTGTTAGTGCTTATCACTGCTTCCAACTTACAGTAGTTACTAGATAATGTGCTCATTACTTTATAAGTACATTTTAAACTCAAAATTTATTAAGACACCAAAAACAAACACATCCAACCTGGGACATGGTGCTCACACAAAGATTTAGTCATTTCCCTTCTTGTAAGTCAAGAGTTGGATATAAAATTATCCCATTAATAACAATTACACAATCACTTCAACAAACGTATAAGAGTTTAATAACTACTTACCCTTGTCTGGGTGATTTAAAAGCATAATTCGTCGATGAGCATCTCTTATCTTTCCTTTATTGGCAGTAGGGCTAATTCAGAAAGGAAAACATTGTTTACTGCAGACTACTTGTGGATCGCATAAAAAAGACTGTATGTAAAGGCCAATTAAAGATGCAAAACTGGAACGAGTCAACACAATAGTATGAAAAACTGTTTAGGGACCTTGTCCCTAACATATGAGGAAAATGAACAGGCTGAATTAGTGGGACAAAATATAGAACTCCTTAGAAAAATAAGGAATTCTCAAAAATTTAAGTTGTAATTTCATTACAACAGTGCTTTTATTGGAAAGGAAAGCATGTTTAAATACTTACGAATGAAGGCAGAATTTTCCCCACAAAAACTTAAGTTATGGAGAATAACACTGAGTACATCACAGCATTTTGGTTAGGTGTTGCAAGCCTGCCTACCTTTCAATGAATTCAAGAGTTTATATGCCAGTGTGCCTTCTTATTGGAATTTTGTATTGGAGTGTTTATATGTTAAAGATGTACATGATACAAATAACTCATTCTTACATTTGCTAATAGGTTTAGAGTTGTAGAAAATGTTAAAATATTGGAAATTATTTTACCTTACACCCAGTATTAATGCTGCTTCCCGTTTTGTCATTTTGGGTTCAAACCCACCTCTGTAATAGCCACCACTAAAGGCCTGAAAGAGGAAATACATTAATAAGAGATTTCGAGAATAAACTGACAGCTGCTAAAAAAATGTCTGCATATGTTCATAGAACTAGCAAACAAAAACATTTCAGATAACTTTAATTCCCATGATATTTGGCTTTAAGGTACCAACAAACATTTTAGTGGTCATTAAACATTCATTTTTTCCCCCTAGAACACCTACACTGTCTTGAAAATACAAAAACAAAAGAACAGTGCCTCAAAGCCAGTTCTTCTGGAAGTACAGGGAAGATTCCAAGTAAGCCATGTTCTACAGGAAACTTGATCTCACAGTGTGACTGTTGTAGAGCAAGAAGTGCCTCAAGAACAGGATTTAGAGATCTTTGAGACAAGTAATTCAATGGTATTTTGAGGTTTAAGGCAACTACTGAAACAAGACTTCAAGATACTTATGGAGAAAATCAGGCTATTAGGTCTTATGACCTTGTTATGTTAAATATTGGTAAAGCCTACCATCATCTTCTATCACATTCAAACACAACAGTAAAAATACTCAGCAAGCTGTCACAGCCATATTCATTCTGAACTGCACACAGAGGTGTGACCATCACATTCAGTCCTGTTCTGCAGTCTAACTGCAGTGTCACCTAAGTATCATGTTAGGGAGCGCCAGGGCCACACAGTAAGAATAGATTACTTCAGATCCTCAGATCCCTCTGTGATGCAGAACACACTGTGGTGTGTGGTGTGGTGTGGAGAGATAATGTCGAAGGTGATGACAACAAAGCGGTATTAACTTCAAGACACGACTTGTCAACACCTCTGGACATAATTCTGTTGCACATAAAGTTTTGACTTTTTAGGGTGGCACTACTACAAAGTTCAGAACTTCTAAACTCTTGTAGAAAGCAAAAGGGGCCCCAAAAGTAAACAAATTCATGGATGTCTGGAAATTTACCCTCTGCAAGTGTAGTTCTAGGCTTCCCATATAGGCAGCAAAGAATTAATGAAAATGTTTAAGAAGCCTTACAGATTTTGGTAGACTTTGAAAAACTTGTTTGACTTGAGGCTCCATATGCTTCAAGGCTTGCAAAACATAACGACCTAAAAACAAAAGGAACAGAATAATTAAAAAGTCCCCAGCCTCCCTTCACTTCCACCCCCAAACCACAAACAAACCTGCAAATCCTGCAGCAGCAATGGTCAGTCCAACTGCTACCACTGTACTGGCCTGGTAAGGGGAAGCAGAATAAATAATTTACTTCTCTAATTCCCACCCTTCCCTATCGCACCATTCTCCCATCCCCCATCCCAACTCACAAGTTTTATTTCAAGGGGGGGAAATACCTTTTAGGGTGAAAATATTCTGCCTAATACTTTAAAACTACAACTTATATCCAATGCATTGTAAAGGTATCAGAGTTACACTACAGAAGAAAAAGGATGATTTCCCTCCTTTTGAGAACATCTTTTTCACCTCAGGGAAAACGAAGTTACATTCAAGTTCAATAAAAGCAAAAGGGGCGGTTGCTGTCAATTTTGACAACGCATTTCAACGTTAAACATCGGCTTCACTAGACTAGCTTTTCCTAGCACCTTCCGCAGTGTCCCGCCTCACGACTACACGACACGAGAAAAGCAGGAAAATGTTTCAGGAACCGAGAAGAGTTGTGTCAGCAAGAGCCAAGGGTATGGACAGAGCAAGGTGGAGCACGTCCTGGGAGGATGTGTCAGGGGCAAGGGAAGTGTAAGCGAACACGCGCCCACTCATCTCCGAACGCCGGGGGCGGCGCAGCAGGGGCTGAAGCCCCCCGCAGAAGGGCTGTGGAAGAACACAAAGTCTCAAGAAAGGTAAGCCAACAGCTCTGTGTCCCGGCCAGCTCCCAACACACAGCCACACCAGGGAGACGACAGCGGCTCCGCCCCTCGGGGGCAAGGCACTGAGGCCGCGGTCAGGTCCTGGCTCACCCAGGACACCGGAGGCCGCACTCACCATGTCTCCGGATCTGTTCCACTGCCTCCGCCGAGAGCGCGGTTCATCCCACTCCAGAGGACGAGGCCGAGGCCACCCACTCCACGCCTCTACCAGAAAGCAAGGCAGCCACCGCCTGCAAGGACGAAAAGTCCAGGCACTGGTGCCCAGGGAAACTAGGCCGGCGCGGCCGCGAACCAGGCCGGAAAACTGTCGTAAAAGGTGAAAGCCGCCGGGGAGAGCAAAGTCGCTCGTGCTCCGGGCAGAAGGGGAACAGGACTTCCGATTGGCTGATGGGCGGGAGGCTCGCCTCCTCCCAGGGCTCAAAGGTGGGGCTGCTCGGTGTTCTGCTGTTTGCCCTCGGGCCAAGAGTATTTGGAAAGTCCGGGAAGGATCTTGGTATAGACAAGCCTGAAGAGTTGCTGTTTCAGCCTTCCTCAAGAACAGTTTTTCTGTCCCTCTCGCCCAGTCCCTGCATTTGCCATTTATTTTGTTTATCGTCGTCAATGATAAAGGATATCAATGATATCCTTAAACACGCCGCAATAGTTTTATCATGAAGCCAAATAAATAGGTAGCAACTCAGTACAGCGAGCAGGATACTGTTCCAGAAAACTAAACGAAGAAATCGCATTGTTTTTCAGAGGGTGCTCTGTAACATTACTATATTTCAAAAATTGGTTTTTTTAATATGTGACTTGACAGAACCTTGTGTCAGTGGTTGGGGTTTTGCTTTGTGGAATGGAATTACCCCGACAAAGTTAATATTCTGATCATGAGATCTCATTCCCACAACTGAAAAATGCGGTTTACAATTTCTGTTTACAATTCTTCCCCTCTCCTGAGATAAAAAGTAGGATTTGGTTTTGCCCTGACAGGGCATCAACTTCATATATCCCTCCATAAATGCTTGAGAAGAGAGAAATAATGGAGACAATAATGAAAGTTTTACAATGCAATGTTTGGATGAGCAAAATAAGTTTGGAGTTACTTCCCAAAGTATTAGAAATATGATTATATTGCAATGAAATTCTGCTTTGATGAGTTAGTTGGTTATTTGACAAACAGACAAATTTGTTGACTTCATTTCCCTCATCTATAAAAAGATTCTGCATTTGTATCCCCAAGAGCTTTTTAACCCTGAGATTTTTGTAATGTAATTTATTGTCAAAAAAAGATCTAGTACTAAGACACAAGTGATAAGCATACATCTCTTTTTGCCTCTTTTTTTATCTAGCTTTACCCAAGGACTACAAGAGAAATAATCAAGTGATGCCAAAAACAAGCTACACTGCCTTCTGAAAAAAAATTGTTATTATTATTTTCTTTTTGGTATTTACAAACTACAGCATACAGCTTGCTTGAGGAACAGGTTAACATACAGAAGCTCAGCCCCAGGAAGCCAGGGATGGGCAACACAGAGAGACACATGAAGTGGAGATAGCTCTCTTTTTGGAGGCAAATCAAACTAGATGTACAACCTGACTCTGTCACTTACTAGTTGTGTGACTCACACAAGTGATTTTTAGCTCTGAGTTCTCTCATTCGTAAAAACAAGGGTAACAGTGATGACCACCTTGCTGAATTTTTGTGAGGATAGAAGTTAAACATATAGTGTGTTCTCGTACACAATTATACCTCAGTGTGTGTCTATTATTATTAGACGCAGGGCAGTCAGAGCACAAATGGGTGTGCAGAGGCCTTCCCTCGTCTCATGACACCTTGACTCACAGATGTAAATCTGGTATTCCGTTCCCTACCCACTAAGGGCCTGGAAAGAACCTTTAAAAATAATTTTATTTGATGTCTGCCAGTTGATGAATGCTTAAATAATCATTGCTTGCTTCTTCCAGCTTCTGGTGACTGTCAGCATTCTATGACTTGTGACTGCATCATTTCAGCCCTCATGGAAGGTCAGTATCTTAAAATCTCTATGTGTTTCCCCTCCATCTGTAAAATCTCCTCTGCTTCCCTCTTAAAGGGATACACATAATTGCATTTAGGGCCCAAACCTATAATCCAGGATAACTATAGCATTTCAAGACTTAAACCTGAGGATCTGTGGATCCTTGATGTAATCATGATTGCAAAGGCTTTGCCATATAAGATAATATTCACAGGTTCTGGGTTTTCAGACTTGATGTCTTTGGGGACCAATATTTAGTCTACTACAGAGACTAAAAGAAGAGAAAACAGGGAACTAAGCAGGCATGAGAGGAAGGAATCCAGCACACCTGCTGAATTTTTCCTCTCAGATTTATCAATCAAGTAAGTCATTCACTTCTTGGGGAGGAATAAGTGAGAGGTGAGAGAGCATAGTCAGCAGTGTTCTTGCATTGTGGCTTTTAAATAGTTTTTGATTAAGACTCTTGGTATGAAATATATTTTACGTAATGAGCTGGGGAACAAATATATACTTGAACATACACATAAACACATATACGTGTACGTACGTATAAGTACACAATGAATTTAATATATATTTAAATTGTAATGTTTTTGAGACAATATTTTTCCTTCAGGAGATGCATGCTGGTCTTCTCTATATCTCAAAAAAAAAATGCCGGGAAACCCACTCACTGGTCCTGATTTGACGTTTGGACAGCATACCTCCATAAAAGCCCACACTTGGAAATACGATGCTAGGCAAATAACAGCTGTTTTCCTCCACTGAAAATCATGTGGCAGGCATTGTGCTAAATGCCTTATGTGGATTATTTCATGTCACTCAATGACAGTAATATTTATTTCTGGTTTGCATATGAGGATATTTTGTCAGGTACGCTTGTTTTCCCTTCCAGGGAAAGGTCTCTTCTCTACCGTTTCCATTCTGCTCTTGTCCCAGACGAGCACATGAAGTTATGAGGCTGACCTCAATGGACTGCATCAACAGGCTGTCTTGTCTTCTGGCTTGGGGTTCAGTTGTGTCTACGATCGGAAGGCAGAAGGAGAGTGAGTTCATAGTCTTTATTTCTCCATCTGCCTCCCCAGTGGTGGTCCCTGAAGAACATAGTTCTTGGGGTGTGTGTGTGGGGGGGGTTCGGGTTACTGCTCCCAAGCCTTGTTCTCCCCGGATTGAGGGTAGTAATGACCCCACTGACCCTCTCTGCTTTGCTAGACACAAGATACTTGACCTTGCTAGTTTTCTTCAGTTGTGTCCACACTCTTGTAAACAGTTTCTTTATTAAATTCTTCTCAACTATTCCATTTAAGTATACCATGTTTCCAACATAGATTTTCACTGTTACTAGCGGGTACGGAAATAATTCGAGTGGGAGATGATGATAGCAATGGAAGTGGAAAGCAGTGTTTGGGCTCCGAAGAGCTGAGTACACTTGCTGATGGTTGAGATATAGTATGTGAGAGAAAGAAAGGATTCAAGAGTTACTCTAAAGCTATAGCTTGAGCAGCTGAAACAATGAATTGCCATTTAATTGGCTGAAAAGTCTTCAGAAAGAGAAAGTGAATGGTGGGAACTTTTGTCAAGTTAAATTTGAAATACCAACATGATAGCTAAGCAATGTTTTCAAGTAGGCGTTTGGATATACAAGCCTGGCATCAAGAGAGAAGTCTTGAGTCAGAAGTCTGTAGATGGTCTTGGAGCCCATGTAACAGATGAAATCATCCGCTGCATGAGTGGAGAGAGAACGAAACAAAAATGCTGCTAATAGTTAAAAGAACAACTGACGGTTGACTACAAGAGATCATTGGTGGCATTTATGAAAAGAGTTTCTGTGCTGCAATAGAATGTGGAAAGAGAAAGAGTGGAGATGGCGTCAGGAGCCACCTCTTCCCAGGAATGTTGCTGAAAAGGGATTAGAGAAATAAAGATGTGCCCAGAGGGAGAAATAGTAGCAGATTTTTTCTAAGATTGGAGAGATAAAGCATGTTTATCTCCTATAGGAGTGATCTTATAGAGGGGAAAGTTGGACACAATTCATTGAAGTATATAACTTAAGAATGAGAAGAAAATGTACAGGCCAGTCCTTCCCCCACCCCTGCCCTAACAGCTTTGTTTTATAAGTGAGGATACTGGGCCTTAGAATGGTTGACTGTTTTTTTTTTTTAAAGCACTGACACAGTCTAGTTATCACTCACCCTTATTGTCCACTTCCCAGATGTATGTAACGTAAGGATCATGAGATGAGAGGTTCATAGAACTGCCTTTCCCAGTACTTCCCAGCCCCTCTTTTTTAGGAATCAGCTCAGATCTGGCTAAACTCCTAACCAACAGCCATTTGGCCCATCTCTGGTAACGCTGTATGTAAAACTAAATGGTACTCAATAAATATTTTCTTCCCTTCCCCATCCTTCCAACCTTTTTTTATATACTCTTCCTCTCCTCCTTCCCTCCAATGATCCTGCCTGATAATCTACCATTGGGAATTCATCCTGTTGTCCCCTGTTTGGATATGAATATTCTTCCTAAGTCATCATAATGAGGTTTGATCAACAGACTCCTCTATGAAGTGTTTTAAGAGATCCTTTTGCTGTTATAACTAGTAAAAGGAATATTTTAATTGGAGTGTAGAAAGGAAAGAAGAAAAAAGAGATGTAGAGCAAGAGGGACTGAGCACAGGCCTGGGTAGGAATCAAATGAGGACCTGGGGTAGTTGGGGAGGTAGATGGGATGCTGAGAAGCCAGAAGGGAAGGTCGGAGGCCCAGCTATTCTGTCTTCCAGTCAGCCTCATCTGCATCCAAGTCATATGACCTCACTAATCATGTGGTAGATTTTGTGGCTGTTACACATGAATTTATAATTATTTCTCGTGTGATGTTTTCCTCAACTTGTTTCATTTTTTCTCACAATGTGTTTTCTCCTGACTTCCTACTTTCTTTTCTAATTAGAACTGTTGTCCTTATTTAATCTGGAGCATGTGAGTAAACAGCCAGTCAGAGAATCGCAGTGTGTTTGACAAGTGACAGCACCCGGGAGGCATGTGTTTCTGGATAAAGGCTTTGTCCTCCTGGAGGCTGAGAGGAAGGAGAACTGAGGCACTTCTCCTCAATGGAGGTTCCCCAGCAACTCCCCATTTCATTCTGTCTTTGCTTGTCTTTTTCTGTTGCCTTTCTCAGTCTGTCTTCTGCCTTCCCCAGCCAGGGTTCCACTTGGAGGCAGCAGTTTATGAGTTGAATAAATCAAGCCCGCCCCGCTGAGCTGTCAGCAAATGGAACTGACCAACAGAACAGTCTAAGTGCATCTTGTGCCTGGGCCAGATAGACAAGCACAATTATTTGATTGCTGGAGATTGCCACTAAATGAGGGTGAAATAGTGGGTCTGAGACTTGTTGGTGAATATTATTAATAATATAGTGTCATGC